AAAAAAAAAAAGCAATAGCAAATGCTCCCTTGCTATTACTTGTATTGAAAGCTTTAGCTATTTTCTTGTCTCAACAATTTGTCTGGTGGCAAGGAATTAGAAAAATATAATGCAGGGAGAAGAAAAGGGTGAGGAAGGAAGTTTCTATTTGTTTTATCATGTTTAATGTAAAGAATGGAAAATAAAAGGAAAGAAAAAAGCAGTTGAGAGTAGAAATATTGTAAATAAAATGAATTTTAATTAGTTTGAATGAGTAATTTCTTCCTGCTTATGAATAAATTAAATTAGATTTTGGAAGAATGGAAAGTAGAAATCTATACAATTTCCTTTCATCTTCCATTTCTTTCTTATACCATTTCCCTTTCACACGATTTTTCATTCTTAATTACCATACGGTGTCAAAACGGAAGAGTTTCCTCGGTAGTTTCAATAATTTTTATTTTTAAATTGAAAGACTGGTTGAACATCTAGAAATGACCCTAAAAAATAGACATCTCCATCATTTGATTAATTATACTTAGTCATTTCGTCATCGACTATAGGACCCTTTCAGAGAAGTAGCCTTCATAATATAATTTCCCAACTAACCCACCCTTTGGGCTAAATTTGATTGGCACTGGCAAACTAAATTACAAAGACAAAGACTTGTTGACTTGGACTTGGAAAAATAGAAGCATCCATCCATAGGACTATCTCTGTTTTACACACAATTTCAATTATCACTGGAATAGACACAGCACGTTTTTTTTTTTTTTTTTGTGATTGCATTTCGCTACAAGTTAACCATATATATATATATACATGTAATCGCTACCTGATTTCGTGGACCGAATTCTATACGTGAATTTGGAAACTTCAAGGAAATTAGGGGAAGGAGAGGAAATGGAGCTAAAGGAGAAAGGAGGTGGTAAGGTGGGAAAGGAAGGAAAAGGAATATTGTACTTTACCTACATATAATTAATTAGATTAATCATATAGGGAGACCGAAATAGAAAAAAAAAAAAATTCATACCTTATCATTTTATTTTACATTATGTTCTTTATATGTTGAAATGGAATATTAAAATTAATACATGTAATTTATTCTATATGAAACAAAGTTTTTATTAAGTAACTTAAATTCCTTCCTCTATATGTCAACCTAGAGGGCTTTAAAAAGATTGAAAATTTGAAGGCCTTCCAAATCCCTTCTTAATTTTTTCGTTAAAAGAGTCCCTCTCTTCCCTTCATTCCTCTTATTATCTAAACAAAATATAAGAGTAATTATTTTACACATCCAACATGTGTAGTATTACATACAACTTGTTTCAAATATTCGTATCTGTGTAATTCCAAAGTCAACCATCTTATTCTTCATTAAAAAGAATGGAAAAGTGCCACCTATCGAGTAGTTTTCCTTTTGAAATTAAAAATATAAAAATTATAATTCAAATATATATGTACATAAAAACATGCAAGACTTTGATTAGACTTGGGAGCTTATAAATATACATGCTTGCCTCTCGGCTTTCTCATCACCCCCACCCTCTCCTTGATATAGAAATATGGGGTGCTTGCTTACTGATGGTCTATCAGTTTCATTCTTTTTGGCCCTTCTCTTTCCTTTTATTTTGCTCAACAAAGCCCCATAATATATTAAGATCAATCCACTGTGTCAACTAAGTTTGGTTGGTTTTTCAATTCTTTGGTGCACTTTATCGGATATGAGTCTAGTTTCTCTCTTCCTCGCTGTTTAGTCGGTTTCTCAATTTTGTGAGACTATATATGTCATCGATGGAAAGGGAGAGCTAGACTCATACCCGGTAAAGTGTTACCTGGCTATGTCGTCTCATGTTAAGAATATTTTTGATATAAGTCGTCTTTTTTCCGGTTCAATGGTAAGTACATATATTCTCGTACTTAAAGAGCAGCTGGTTTGGCCAACTGAGCTATAGCTCGGATGGCATGATGTCAGCTGCAATTGGAAGGTTACCAGGGTTTGAGGCATAAGGCCTTCTCTGCAGGTAAGTCAGCTAAGTAGAATAGATGGATTAAGAGGTTCCTAAACAAAAAAGAACAACTGGTTTGAAATCTTTCTTTCTCAAATCAAAAGATACAAGGATAATGAAATAGTAAACTTACCATTATATTCTAACCTAGTCATTTAATGTTGAACTTTATCATTATGCTTTAACTGTGTTGAATTTTGACACCTTTCATTTTAATTGATTTTGTAGAATCTCATATTTACTCTAACCTGAACTTTCCGGTTGTTCTACCATTGGATGGAACCACTCAGTTCTCAAAAATGATTGCAAATTCTTGGAAAGATATCTGCTCTGCATGATCTCAAATGGGATCATTAACCTCCTGAAAGCTAAGAAGATTTCTATTAAAAGTGGCAACAGGGTCACGCAGCTGGTGATGCTCGGAGAAATATACCCATTATGGGATGGGGTGTTGTTTGTTAACAAAGGTCCCTGCTCTCATCCTTATGTAAATAGTTAACGGCCCGTTGAGTAATTATTGATTCTGTTAGAAAAGAGGAAAGAGAGCTGTAGCACTCTCTCTAACAAAATCTCCTGCAAAATTCTCTTCTTCTTCAAACAGGTCCATGGAAGACCAGAATAAGGACATCCTCCACCAGCCACCATTGCCAGTGGATTCGATGGCACTCTTCTTCCCCACAATCCGATGGGTTTCGATTCCTACCCAAGCCAAGGTCAGTTTTAGTGTTTTTGTTGCTTGTTCTAGCGATTTGATTGTTGCTTTCGTGCTCCTACATTTGAAATTGGTAAGTTGAAGAAAAAAGCTGAGTGTGCAAGTCTCTTAATTGACATATAGTGTAGAGCCAAGGCGTTAAAATAGATTGAATCCTGATTATCGAAATTAAAAATTTAATATTTTATTAACAGACATAATAATTTTATTTATCCATTTATATATATACATGTTTGTTTTGAAATTCATTGTCATATTTATTATATTGCCTTTTATGGTCATTGCTTAATATGGCTAATGTTTGTATCGAAAGCTTTAGCTATTTTCTTGCCTTACCCTTTGTCTGGTCGCAAGGAAGCAAAATATAGTGAAGGGAAAAGAAAAGGGCGAGGAAGGAAAGGAAGATATGTAATTTTTGTTTCTTTTCTCATTTTAGTATAAATTAGATGGAAAATAAAAGAAAAGAAAATTTAAGAGTAGAATTTGTAAATAAAATGAATTTTAATTAGTTTGAATGAGTAAATCTTCTTGTATATGGATGAATTAGGGTTTAGAAGAATGGAAAAGTAGTAGAAGTCTATATATTTTCCTTCCATTTTTTTATAAAAAATGTTTTCATAGAGAAAATGATTATATATGTTAATATTAAAATTTTAAATCTGCTAAATATAATTTTTTTAAAAATAATTATATTTTAATTCTTTCTTATAATATATATATATATATAGATTTTTTTTTTTACATAAAATGGATATAATTCAAAAAATAAATATAGATTTGAAACTTAAATTTTTATACTTCATTTGTCCCATTTTTATCCCTTTTTTTAATATCTTAAAATTATGTCTTTTTTTTTAACATTTAAAATTCTAAATTTTTTATATTTTAAAATTATTTTTATATTTTTTAATTTTTTGATATTAAAAATAATGTTTTTTTTTTACTTTTTAACATTAAAAATATAAAATTTTAATTCAAAAAATTTTAAAATTTAGTATTAAATGCATTAAAATTAAAATTTTTAAATCTTATAAAAATCAATACATAGCAAATATTTTAAAATAAAAAAAATATCATTTTAAAAATCTCATCACTAAATAAAAAAGTCGAATACAGGTTTTTTTTTTTTTTTTTTTTTTTTCATTTCGCATTACTTGGTATCAAACACAGTATAACAATGTTACTTGTGAGAGAAGCCTCGTAGGGGTTTCTTTTTTTTTTTGTTAATAATGGATTGTTGAACGTCACTGAAATGTAGGCTACATCCCTCCACCGTCCAATTATAGTTTAGTCAAGTCTTCAACAATAGGACTTGCAGCATAGGATTTTTCTAGCTGAAAAATCCCTTTTGGAAAAAGAGGCCTTTGTAGTTTCCTAAAGATTAAATTGACTTTAATGAATTAAATTTGAGAAAAACAAAAAAAAAAAAGGAAATAATTGGTTAACATACATCCATATGTATATTTTACAATCAGATTCAATAATCATAAGAATAGCTTATCATTTTGTCGATGCATTTACTACAAGATAATTATATATATATATGAGTATGATCTACTTAAAAAATTTATCTCGAAGCAGATTTCATAGTCGAACCCTATGTTTGGAATCAGAAGCAATGAAAAAACAAGAAGAGGAAAAAAGGGACGGGTAAGGTTCCTTAATTTGTTTGGTGGATTAAAAATAAAGCAGGGGAGCTGGATGTGTATAATTTTAATTTTTTTTTTATATCCTGAAGTAAATATTCGAATGTAATTTTTGTTTTTTTCATTATTATTTAAAGTTTCACGTTATCTGATAATTCATGTATTAAAAAATAATAATGTCAGATAAAAAAAAGAAAAAAATGATGTACACTGACTCCTCCTCGATTAAACAAAAACATGTCAAGATTTTAAATTCACTAAAAAATTTTTTTTATTGTTTTATTTTTTTCCATTTCCATGTGATTAGGAATATCCTTACATTGTATACAAAAAAAAAAATTCTTACTTGCTATTCGTGACTTATTGATTATAATATTGCATGTATTAATATAGATAATTCGTTTTTTTACCTTTTTTTTGTCATAAAATCATATTTAAGGAAAAGTTTGATATTTTTATAATTTATATTTTAAATTTTTTTTTATATTAAAAGCCAAGAAATTATAAATTTTATTAAAAAATAAAATTTTAATATATAATAAATAAAAATTAACTTTTTAAAACTCCTTAAAAATATAATATGCAATAATTAAATTTTCAATCAAAGTTATGATGTCTTTATTTGAAAAAAATTATAATCTCCGTCGCGCATATATATATATATATAAACCAAATCCTTTTCTCTCCAAATCCTTCCTCAACCAAAACACTCCACCACCCAATGGTTCCACCACCGCCGAATGCCCAACAAATCGAACAATTGCTGTCCTCCGTCCTCTCTCAACGCGGCCCTTCCTCCCTCCCTTACACTGAAGAAACTAAATGGCTAATCCGCCAAAACCTCATTGCCATCACTTACCACTACCCTTCCCTCCAACCCAAAACCGCCACTTTCACTCACAACGACGGTCGATCCGTTAACCTCCTCCAAGCCGACGGCACCATCCCCATGCCTTTCCAGGGTGTCACTTACAACATCCCGATCATAATCTGGCTTATGGAATCTTACCCTCGCCACCCGCCTGTTGTCTACGTGAATCCCACGCGCGATATGATCATCAAACGTCCGCATCCTTGCGTTACTCCGTCGGGGTTAGTTTCGATCCCTTATTTGCAAAATTGGATTTATCCAAGTTCTAATCTTGTCGATTTGGTCCTTAATTTAAGCTCTGCTTTTTCCCGCGATCCCCCGCTTTATTCCCAACGTCGACCATATACTAACCCAAACCCTAATCCGAGCCCTAGCCCTTCGATGAATTCCTCCATGACGTCTAGTTATGGGCATCCTCCACCACGGCCAAGGGTTGCTGCTGCGGCGGCGGGGTATCCGCCTTCACCTTATGGGAGGATACAGGTGCCACAGCCGTCGCAACCTCCTACTTCACAGACGGATGATGCGGCAGAGGTTCATAAGAGGAATGCGGTGAATAAGTTGGTGGAGATGGTTCATGGTGATATAAATGGGATGAGTAAAGCAAGAGAGGTTGAAATGGAAGGGTTGTTTTCAGCTCAGGCAGTGTTAAGAAGGCGAGAGGAAGAGATTAATAAAAGGTTGAAAGAGATGCAAGATGAAAAAGAAGGGTTAGAACAGCAGTTACAGGTTGTTTTGATGAACACTGATGTGTTGGACGGTTGGGGTAGAAATAATGAAGGGAAAACGAAGAAGCTAGGGAAGAATAGTGTGGATGTTGATGAGGCGTTTCATTGCGGTGACGTGCATTCTAAGCAAATGTTGGATTGCACAGCTGCTGATTTAGCCATTGAGGATGTGGTTTATTCATTGGATAACGCAGTGCAAGAAGGGGCTGTGCCAATTGATCAATATTTGAGGAATGTGAGGTTGTTGTCAAGGGAGCAGTTCTTTCATAGGGCTACTTCTGTGAAAGTTAGGGCGGCTCAAATGCAGGCTCAGGTTGATAGTATGGCTGCTAGAGCACCATATTATGTCACATGACTGGTTATTGTTTTGTTTTGGGATCTGTCTATAAAAGGATCATGTTATGGAAGTTAGCTTCTAGCCAATATTTGATATTATCATGATATAGCTGCCTTTTTTGTTTACATAATTAAATTTATGTTTCTTATTATAGATATGTATTATTCATATAAAAAAAATAGCACTTTGATGTTAATAATGTGCTCATGTTTTTGGTTCATACCCTTTTCTCTTATTTCTGTTGTTTTTTTTTTTTTTTTATAATGAATTTGGGTTCTTTGGCACAGTCGCATTGTTGAAAAAGCTGAAATAGAATTGTCTACTATATCTGTTGGTATTTTGTTTCTTGTCATTGAGAAGTCGTTCATAATGTAGGAAAGGTCATGTGTAATACTCAGGATGCCTGTTTATTTTGAAGGTTCAACAAGTGAAGAGTAGAGTTGTGGGCAGATCTAATAATGATTGCAATAACTTTTATCTGTTTCTTTTGTCTGACAAGAATTTAAATCGGCACTAGCATGTTAATTCTTCCGCTCAATTGCCTGTACTGATTTGCCAGTTTTTCCTCTTGATAAGTGACTTTTTTTTTACTTGCATTTAGGTTATCTAATGTATTATGTGGACAACAGATATTTCTCCTTGGATCCTTTGCTTTCTATCAATGATCTACTATCTAACTAATATATCTATCACCATAGTACTTCTTACCTCCCCATCTATAATGGAAGCCCAAGACCTATTCCTGAATGCTGCATTCTTAAGAATGCTAAAAGAAGCTTTTACCTTTTGATTTCGTATGTTTTCTCACCCTTTGACATGATTATTTATTACGTAAATGAATGAATCCGTTATTTAATCTACCATTGGTTATTCAACTGATCAGCAAAGTCCTTCAAACTATTTCATGCTGAATGGATCCTTATTCTTGGGGGCTAAACTTTTAACCATTTATCACCTCTTATTTCTATGAGCTTTATGAGATACACCAGTAATTTTCATTCCCTAGGCATTTTTCGTTGCTAGATTCGAGTTAAGATATTAAATAGACCTATTTAATGATTGAGCTAGGTTTGAAAATCCATCCATATTTTTAAAGGATTTGTACAAAAAATTAAAATTTATTAAACGAATTTTGATAAAATTTTAAAATTCACTTAGATTTTGAGTAGGACCTCAACATAAGAATTACAATTCAAGTTCGATTCGAATCATATAAATATAATTAAATTATTATAATTATATATGTAAATTTTTATTTTAATATTTTTTAAAAATATATATTTTTATTTTTTATTATATAAATTGAGCTTAATGAATAGATTTAGATTTTAGAATTTTTAATATGAATTGGGTTTAAAAAAAATTTTAGACTCAAATTATCGAATCAAACTGAGTTTAAATAAATATATAAATTATTAATATTAAACACAAGTTTAGCTCGAACTCGGCCTATGAATTTCTCTAGTACCAAATAATTTTTTTTGTTTTTTAAACCAAAATTAAACATGAACTCAAAAGTGAAAAAATAAAAAATTAAAAATAAAAAATTAAAAATGAAAACCCAATGGAAAACAAACATTCCCATGCAATTACCAAAACAAGTGGCAAGAAGATTTAATCAGAATTGACCATTAATTCTTGAAAATTTTAAAAGTGAAACTTTGAGTGCATGAGACAAATTTTTTTTACAGGTTAAAAAAAAAGCATATGAAAGAAAAACTTTCTATTATCATATTTTTTTGTTTAAAAAAAAAAATATGACATGACAATGATGTGTCAAAAAACTAATAATCAGGAAATAAGTTTAAAACTACAATAATGTGAGAAATAAGTTTTCAAAATACAATACTTAGTAAAAATCTCCAGAGTTATTCCACACTATATATGGAAAAATCAAATTCATTATTAAATGATAACTTTGTCTTTTATTCTTAATAATAAAAAAGTTAAATTCTTTAAGAAACATTCAATTTTTTTCAGTTTTTTCCATCCATTAACTTTTTGAAAAAGAAAAATTTTCGAATGTATCCCTTTCATACGTTTTAACTTTTAACCTATTTCTAAGAAAAAATAACATTTTAAAGATTTTTTAAAAATGTAATTACATAAGTCTTTGTCTCATGGACCAAGACTTAAGTTTTTAGCTTGCACGACTTCAAGATATGGGAATAAATTTTTTAACGTCTCAAATCAACCTAATACAAAAAATAGTACACAGACACTCTAGATTACAGAGCTCGGTCGTTCAGTACATTGCAAAATGAAATGACACAGCAAGTGCTGAAAAAAAGACTAACAAAAGAATAAAAAAAGTTTAAGGTAATAGTAAGGATGTTATTACTTAATGGTTATGGTCTATGTGTACAATGAGGGTGGGGGACTCTCTATTTATAATTGAGTCCCCTTTACAATTGGTGCCTTTAATACATTCCTAAACTCTAGAGATTATATTGGTTTGAATCCCTTGATTTTAGGAGATGAAATACAATCCCTAATTCTAGGGAATTTGTTGCTGCTGCACAATATTTGACTTGTTGAAATCATTTAAGCATTGGGCCTTCTAGAAGTCCCAAAATCTAATTTTCTTAAGACTTGTTCAGGCTTGCCCACATTTGGGCTTGATCGTGCACTCGCGCCTTAATCATCAGTGCCCTCGCTTGGGTTCAACTGGGTGCTTGCGAATTGTTCATCAGCGTTTGCCCCTAAGCTTGGCTCAATCCTACCAAACCTAAACATTTTCCCTGAGCCTTTAGAGTCTTGATCACTATCCGTCCTATTGTTCTGGGCTAGTTCTTCACGACCTAGACCTCCAATGCTTTTAGGGCTTCGTACATTTGGCTGTTAGATTCTATCCTGCTAGAACTTAAACTATTTTTCGACTTGGAGAGAACCCCTAGACCTGGACCAGTTCGTGGACCATGATATTTTTTCGTACTTATTCTAGCAATGCCCTTATTGCTAAAGGGATAATACGTTCACCTTTTATGCTGGGTTTGACTTTTACCTCGTGAACCAATTTTTTAACATTTCGATCTCATACTCGAACATGTACTCTGCTAGCTTTGCTATTCTTGATCTTATATTTTTCAATACTTTACTGTAATGGTCCTTTCCACCCGCACTGCCAACACTTCCTCTGAGTTACCCGTAATACACATTTTTAAAATAAATATGGTTACATTTGAGGACTTATGTTGTGGCACTCTACTGCCACTATTTTCCCCTCATTAGTCCTCAAGAGGTCTCAACCCCTAATAATCTCAACTAGTAGTTGGTTGCTCCTCATTGGGCTTATTTTAGTGCTACTTACTTACCCCTAACATTCTTGCCTTTTAACAGCCCTTCTATCCACTTGATAGCTAAAAGCTTCAGACACTCTCTGACCTGATGTGGATCGGTACAAAAATAATAACTCAAGGGCATTTTGCCCCTATTGGCGGCTCTATCGATTTTGTAAAATTTAGGCTTCCCCATAGCCCTTTCTTCCTTAAAAAAACCTAACTTCGATGTTTCCCCTAATTTGGTCTTTTTCCCTTTGACCTTGGAAACTTAGTGCACTCAATTTGAGTCATTGATTCCATAACAACTTCGACCTAGCTTAACTTTTGTACACCTTTATTGTAGCTTGGTCTTTATCCCTAAGTTTACTTCATTAATGAAATGCTTAGGCGCCTCTATTCTTGGTCCCAAGTCTGCACCAGCAACCATGATAGTTTGTAATACAGTATGATCAACCTTGAACCTAGCTAGCTTTTCTTATAATGTTGACACCACGAACTCTAACATCTCATTACATTATATAATCTTTTCCATTACCTTATTTGAAGATCCCTCAATGTTTTTGAACCGATTTGTTATATGTAAAATGGCTTTTTCACACTTCGCTAATCAAGTGCTTGTTGATACATATCTTGTTAAAGCCTTCCCTCACTTGTCTTTAAGTGGGCGCACCTTGTTTTGGCCCTCTTTCTGGTTTTTCCTAGCCAGTACACCAATCTATTAGCATGGCATATCTGCACAGTTCACATTGTTAGGCACTAGTCTACACCATGGTTCAGCACACCAACTTTTCTATCAAGTAATAGTTTGCACACTTACACACCCATATAGCACATCTAGCACACTTACAGCACACAACAACAATTTGTTGAGCACCTATCCTACACTCCAACATGTTTACACCTAGCACACTAAGAGCATTTCATTAGCACATGAGTACAGTAGCCTTTTTAGAATGTCCACACCAAGTAGCAAGTCGCTTGCACACCACACAGTCAAATGTTAGCATACACAATAAAATACCTGCACAACTTACCATAATACCCATATATCATATCAAGATGCTTGTAAGCAAGTCCCTCGACCTACATCAACTCCAACTCTAGCTCTTACGACAACTCTGGCTCTTTTTGTCACGAGTAGGGATTTGTTGCACACTTCAAACCAAGGCTCTGGTCATCACCTTTGGTCTGATTCAAGCTCCAATACCCTTTGGTATTTAGTTTTGCTTCCTACTCCTAACTCTTTTGAATCAGGTTATGATACCACTTGTCACGAGCTGAAACTCAAGCTCTGAACTTGTGCGACTCCAAGACATAGGAATGGTCTTTTTCGTAACCCAATTAGCCAAACACAAAAAGTGATGCATAGACATTTTAGACTAAGAGGCTTGGTTGCCCAGTTCACTACAAAATAAAAAGGTCATGGTTTATGTATGCAATGAGGGTAGAGGACTCTTTATTTATAATTGAGTCCTCCTTATAATTAGTGCCTAAGATACATTCCTAAACTCTAAATATTTCATTGGTTTGAATCTCTTGATTTTAGGAGATGAGATACAATCCCTGATTCTAGGAGATTTGGTGCTATTGCACAATCTTTGAATTGCTAAAATTATGTTGAGCACTGGGCCTTCTAGAAACCCCTAAATCTAAACCTTTTAGGATTGTGTTCTGGCATACCTACACTTAGGCTCGATCGTGTACTTGTACCTTAATCATCAATATCTCTACTTGGGTTCAACTGGGTGCCTGTGTCACGGGTCAAGGTTTAAGCTCCAAATCCATATGGCTCCGAGACCCGGGCATTCACCTTTTCGACGTCTCATATCAGCTTACCTATCACGGTTCACACTCTTGTGAGAAATTATCCGCTCTGGCCCTTTGGCCTCACGATTTTATCCTACAAAAGGTACCTCACAAAAGATGTGTGAACCCTTATATACCCCAATGACCTTCTTATTATGTTCAATGTGGGATTCATGACTTTTCCTTAGGTCTGTGACATTCTCCTGCATTCAACCTCGTGACGCCCTTGTTACAGAGGCTGGCCCCCTGCCTACCTCCCTTGAGGCGCTCGACGTGGATAGAACAGTATAAGACTGACTCTGATACCACTTATCACGGGTTGAGACTTAAGCTTAAACCCGCGCGACTCTGAAATTTGGGCATTCACCCTTTCGACGTCTCAGATCAGCCTACCTGTCACGGTTCACACCCTTGTGAAGTATTATCCGCTTTGGCTCCCTTGACCTCACGGTTTTATCCGACAAAAGGTGCCTCACAAGGAAGAGATGGTGTGAACCCTTATATACCTCAGTGATCTTCCTATTATGTTCGATATGAGATTCAGGACTCTTCCTTAGGTCCGTGATACCTGCGCATACCTCTAGTGTGCCTCAGGGCTTGGTTTACTTAGACTATTAGACTTTATCTCACTAAAACTTGAATTGTTTCTCGATTTTAAGAAAACTTTTAGACTTGGACCAACTTGCGAACTATGACATTTGTACTTATTCTTTACAAATTCATTTTTAATATCTTTTAATTTGAGAGCCTTTGAATTGCTTAAGTAGTAGATTAATCTAAAGCCTTCAAAAAAACTTTATTGTGAAGTCCAAAATCAAAAAACAAAAAGGATTAAAGCCACTATTAAGGTATTAGCGTTGAGCACAAGAAAGAAGAAACAATCAAGTCTTTTAGGGTAAAAGTGAAAAAATATATCTTTCAAGTTTAACTTATTTATAAAAGTTTAACTCATATATCTTTCAAGTTTAACTCATTTAGGTTAAAAAAAGACGAACAAAAAAATTCAACCAAAAATTCAATTAATCCAACAAATCAATTAAAAATATTACAAGAAATAAAATGGATAAAAAAATATATTTAGAGCATCTATCAAGTAACTTAGCTTCCTGCAACTTGTCAATCTCTTTCATCCACAACCCAGCATGGATTCTTTGTATCTTCAACCTATAATCTTTCTTCAAATTCTCCAAAACATATAATCCATTATCTTTCTTTTTTGCTTCTTTTTTCTGTTTATATTTATGTTACTTTCATCTCTCATTTTAATTCCCAGTCATGTTTTCGTCGAGCACCTTAATTTCTACATTAAGGTTCAATCATAAAAAGAAATTAACTTCAACATCCCAAAGAGCTTTGTGCTTAGGATAAATGTCATTAAAGAGCTAAATTGTTTCCCAAGTGTTGTTCCAAGAGTCATCTTTGTAATTTTGGGGTGGTTTAATGGAATTTTAACTAATTTTGTGTGAATTATGTTGATCTATGGCTTGGTAAATGATTTGACAATCCTAGTAAATGAGTGCATATTTTTTAGTTTTATGAAACTAGACAATGAAGTAATTAAGGAAAAAAATAAAAATGAAAAGAAAAGATAAAAGGGTCAAAAACAAGTTTTCAAACAAAAATTTAATAACTATCTAAATTTTTATTATTTTATTACATTTAATTAAATCATCAAATACTTATTTTCATCAATTAAACTTTCATTAAACAAAAATTAGTTAACTGATAATATTTATTTTCATCAAATTGAAGATTCAATTATAATAAAAATAAATATTTAAGAGTTTAATTGAAATAAAAATAAATATTTAAAATTTCAATTGATTTAAATAAAAAATAAATATTATATTGATTATAATAAAATATCAAAACTTAAATGGTTATCAAAATTTTTTGAAGGACTTTTTTCTTATTAAAAAAATTAGAGTGAGCAAAAAAGTCAAACAATTATGTAATAACTAAATAATTACAAGAAAAAAAATCCTATTTTAAAAAATAAGAATAAAAGTTTTTCATTTTAAGAGTAAAAAAAATGATTACAAAAAAGAATAAATTTTTAAAACTCGTAAAATTCTGGCTGGGCCAAATAAAAAAAATGTAAAATTCTACTAAATTTCTCTTTTTCTTTCACTGCGAAAAAAGCAAGAAGGAAAGTTGGAAAACCGTGTTGCCAAATTTGGGCTGACGTGGAAGATTTTGAAAGGACCTTCACATTCTTCTTTACTTCAGCCAAAATATACCAATCTGAACTTTTCCCTACACGCGTTTGGTCATCGAGAAAGTGCCTACCTCGAGAAAAATTTTACCCCATTTCCTACTATTTTTTCCGCAAGAAATCATTAAAAAAAAAAAAAAAAAACAGCTAAAAGTTCAAAAATAAAACCCTAACAAAAAGAAGTTGCTGCCCTAATGCACCTCACGTTTACTTAGCGAGCGCGTATAGCATCTCACTGACGACGTCGTTTTTATCTCTCACGCCGATCCGATCAGGCTTTTCACCGGCCCGAGATTGTTGCTTTTATCTACAACTCTTTATCAGGATTCCCAGGTTCCTTTCTCTCTTTCTCTCTCTCTCTCATAAGTACTTTTATTTATTTGTTTGTTTGTTTATATGAAGTGTAAATCATTATATGATTTAACTTTTTGATTGAGTTTTTTGGTGGATTGTTTTGTGTTTATTAGCTTGTTGGTTGCTTATTTGTAATGGGAGGAGCAATGGGTTTGTTTATTTTGGTAAATTTTACTAAAGAAGCTGAGGTTTCGATACTCTTAGTGTAGACTTCTTTAGAGTAATTTAGGAATGGCGTAGCTGAAATCAGTGCAAAAATGTTTATGTCTAAATGCCTGTCTTTGTCTGAAAGTTAGGTGCCGAACTTGGTTAGTATGGGATTTGGCCATGCCGATTTTATTGGTGCGAATGAATGGAAAGTTTGAGAAGTGGTTATCTTGTTTTTTATAAGCTTATATGTTGGAATGGGGTTGTTACCTCTTACTAGTTAGCACAGTTCCAATACAAATGTCTTGCTGAGCATTGGGATAAATAAACTTAGTCTTTGCAGAGATGGTGCTCAAGTTTATCAAAATTATGTCATCATGGATCTTTGGTTACGGGCAACTGCATGACCTAGGAAAATTCCTGATTGTTCTTAAAGTCAGTTCTTATGTTCTGCAAAGCTGGTATTGGATAACATCCATGACATAGCTTTCAAAGAATGACTGAGCATTGGTTTCAAAGTGTTGTAAAGCAACTAAACTTCTTACTTCTAGTTGGTTATTTTCTTCCCTCTTTCTTTTTCCCACCTCTTAGTTTTTTTGGTTTCCAGTATGATATGAACATAGTGTGCTGATGGTGATTACTGTACACCCTTGGAAACCCTTGGCTATTTGTGGAAATGCTTTTTGCATCAAATATGGTGTAGGGCAGTGCTCTACCAAAACCTGTTTGTGGTTGAATTGAGTGTATCTGATGTGTTAATGTATATTTGCATTTTTTTTTCCTTTTTAATCTGAATCTTTGCAAGTATGTTTTGGTGTAATTATGTTCTCATTATGTTCCAAGCATGTATGGAATTTGGAGCCCAGATGCCGATATAGACCAAGAGTTTGCCTTCTGCAGCAATTGGCATATAAATCTGGCATAATGGTTAAGCTAAAATAATTTAACACTTTTCATACTACTGCTTCCAAAATCTGGAATGTCTCTATCTTGTTAAGTTTTATGTTCTTGTAACACGGGGTGGCTGTTCTATCTGTAAGAATCCAATCATTAAGAGCTTGTAATTACTATGGTCTTAAAAGTATTTCTGTAGTTTTGATGAGTTTTATTGAAGATTATTGTTGCCAGCAGTTTTAGATCTTATGTGAGTGTAGTCATTTTTGGAGGTTGGGCAGGTCAGGGATTGGTGAGGAACTCCCTCCAATCCGTTTAAGTCCTACCACCATCCACCATGAACCCTCGACCACTTAGAACTCTAGCCTTTTCATCACCATGAACATAGGAATCAAAGAAGAGACAATTAAGCAAATATGAAATGAGGTAAGAGAGAGGGCATTGTGGTGTAGCATTGTTCAGTGATCACTAACTACTCACTTGTTGACAGAGAAATGGTATGCATGATAACTCATATATGTTAAAAGGAAAACAAAAGAATTCCACCCTCATAGCCTTGAAGATCATAAATAGGAAAAGGCAAAAAGAAAAATTATGGAATTTAAGAAATATCTTTTATGTTTTACCTAGGATGGAGATTAATACATAGGTTCTCCCCCCCCCCCCCTCCCAGTGTGGATATTTTATTTAAATGAGATAAACTAAAAGTGTGAGGCATTTAAGGGCTTTCTTTTTAATTGAGCAGATATGATTAAGGAGTTTAATGTTATTGGATGGTGGTTACGAAATTCATTAAGCAAGCAGAACAGTTAAAATGCTGGGGAATGAGTTGGATTTGTGTATGAGCTTTTGTTGCTGGTGAGTGTGTTATCAGTTCGGTTGGTATATTGGCCCCTTGATTGGTCTGATCTTACAGTTGAACATTTACATCTATATACATTTTTGAAAGCCTTTAAGTTCTCAAACATTTACATCTATATACATACAGAAGGATATAAGTATGACTTCTCAATTCAAAATAACAACAATGATCGGGAGAGTAATTTGGGCTTCTTCTGTATGGCATGTTATGGTCTTTCAGCTTATTGGATTTAAATGGAGAAAATCCAGCCGTATCATATTTATTTTAAGAAGAATGATTGAATATGTCTTCTCTTATCTTTTATCATTTCATAAGAATAAATCTGTTTACTTGTAAGAGTAGTGGATCATAATCAATTCCTTGCATTCATTTACTAAATGGTTAATGTCAGTGTTCATATCTATGATTGGAGCCAAGCCTATGTTTAGTCCTGCCTTCCAATGCTTTAACCACTGGATTTGTACAGAATAGCACTGGTCATCCTTATCATTAATTGGAGCCACTGTTATGCCCCACCTTCTTATGCCTGACTAACCTAATTTGCACAGGGTTCTAGGTGCTGATATTTTACTCCCAAAACATCATTCTTTTCTGTTTGATTGGAAGGGTTGGGTTTTTGCATTTGCATGTGCTTTTCTCGTGTTTTACAGATTACAAGTACTGTGAGAATCTTTGCATTTATGGTTAAACAAATATGGCTGTTTGACCATGAGTCTTTCTTGTTATAGGGTATAGGGAGCCATAATCTTATTATTTGATTTTGAATTTTCAATCTATGATTAGAAAGACATGTAATTGTGTCTTTGGTGTTCCTATCTTCTAGTGCTGGAAATATTGAGGGGAGATAAAGAAATGAAGTTTGAATAGATGGAGCATTGTGGATAATCATATGCAACAAGGGGATGGGATGGGGGCATGATGGGTAATGTCATGATTAAACAGTTTTGTCAGATGATATCATTGGCCCTTCTTTTCGATATTCTTTTTCCTTTTGTGATCACTTTTTTACTTTTACTGAGCAACTGTATAATCCTGAGTGACTCTGTCAATTTGGCCTTTTGGTTGATTGGAACATGGTAAAATTTCCTTCTCTATGATATATTCTGAAACTTGCAAGAAGCAAGGGTAATATATAAAACTTGAGAGCTTATTAATTGGCACTGTGCCCGCAATGAAACAAAACAAATTGGAGGACAAGGAATTAGTTTGGTAATATCAATATATAGTTAGAAGTAAATAATGAAATAATAGTCTTTTAGAATCGCATTAAAAACATTTCACGGAGAATCTCAAACTTTGAAGGCTGCATTTAACTGACTTAATTTAAGTGAAGTTTGACTGAGGATTTTTCTTTCATTCTGAAGCTGATTTAGTTTTCAAGTAGTAAGAGTTAGCATATGTCAGAGAACTACTTCCCTTTATGATTTTCTTTTTCAATGATAGTACTGAATGCTCTGTTAAAATGTCTGATATTAAGAACATTATACATCGATTGCAGGCCAAGAAAGGGTAAAAAGGGGGCACATCTTAAGTTGCATGATCCATAGGTTATAGGTTTGTGACTTGTCATATTTGTTGAATCTTTAATTGAATTATTGTTTTCATGAAATTGCTTTCCTGGCACTTCATTTCAATTGTTATTTTACAAATTAATGTTTGTTGACCTGCCACTTTGCCATCTCTTCAGGTCATCACCGTTTTATATATTAGATAATCGGAACATAATGTGACTCTCCTCTTGGCCTTTGTTGTGTCCTTTATTATCCCTTAACATGGCAAAACAACATAAATATTACTATTTTCTAACTTGAGTCAAAATGTGTTTAGATAATCATTCTTTTTCAAATTTTTTTAGATGATAGTGGCATCATTTAGTCCTCAATTTGACTTATATTTAATTTCCTTTGAGCAATGTTTTATATTGCACCTTAACATGACAAATCCATTCCTTTTTCTTTTTACCGGATTAGGAATGGACCACTATGACCCGCCGGCACAGAGAAGGGAGATGAAGCATAAAGGAAGAAATGTAGTATGGTCGATTGCCATGGACAAGTGTCTAATTGAAGCTTTGGCCATTCAGGCTAAAAATGGGAATAAAATTGATAAATGCTTTAATGAAAATGCATATACTGCTGCCTGTATTGCCGTGAATTCTCACTTTAATTTAAACTTGAATAATCAAAAAGTTATTAATCGTCTTAAGACAATTAAGAAAAGGTACAAGGTAATGAGGGATATGCTAAGTCAAGATGGATTCAGGTGGAATCCAAATACGAAGATGATCGAATGTGACAGTGAAGATCTTTGGAAAAGATATATAGCGGTAAGTGTGTTCTGCATTCTCTTCATTTTGTTTTCTTTTTATAGTACATATATTTAATATTACTTGACATGGACTGCTTTTTTAAAGGAAAAAATGTTTCTATTGCTAAGCTACAATTATACCAAGCAGGCACATCCTGATGCAAGAGGATTTCGAGGAAAACAGATTGAAATGTATGATGAACTAAAGATTGTTTGCGGAAATTACCAAGCCCCTAGCCGTTGGGCTAAGATGAAGGATGGAAGTCTTCCAACTGGGAATAAAAATTTTGAAGAAGATTCTGCTTCTTTCTTATCACAAAGTTCAGACGACCTAAGTGATACAGATGGAACAGAGTCATACACGGGGGCACCTGAGTACTTGCAAGATGGTAGTCAAGATCCTCCCCTAATGGATCCTCCTCTAATGGAGCCTCTCAGACAACTTCCAAAGCGACCCCGTGGCTCAAATGCTCTTCAGGAGGCAATGTTGGCTGTGGCTTCCAGCATTCGGCGGTTGGCTGATGCAATGGAGCAGAGTAAAACTGCAATCAATACCTCAGAATTGCTAGGCGCTGTTATGGAGATTGATGGTCTGGAAGAAGCTAAACAGATGTATGCATTCGAGTATTTGAATGCTGACCCTATTAAAGCTAGGGCCTTCATGACGTATAATGTTAGGATGAGGAAGACATATTTGTTCAGACAGTTTTGGTGGTGGAAATGACTGGTATCCAATTTCGAACCTTTTGGTATATTATCTACAGTACTGCAGGAATATTTAAGGATGTTGGCACATTAAACCTTATTCCATTGATCCTTCCTTGGAGGTGAATGCACAGATTTCAGATGTTCACAGGTTAAACATATATGGCTTTAAGCCAATACTGTAAAGAAACAAACAGGGCGCTTATGCCCCTCTTCTTTGAATGAAGCTAAGCTTTAGGTGTAAAATCTACACTTTTGACGCTCCTAAGGAGATGTAGTGTCGTTTTTATGAAGATGGATATAGCTTCTCTTTGTTTCTTCTGTTCCTTTTTTCGGTTTCTGGTCGGAGTGGTACGTTTCAGACTGCTGAATCCAATGAGAGAGAAATGTAGCCGTAGTTGCTCAAAAATTCGTTGATTTCGGGGTTTTTGTACTCTGATCGTTGAACCTAAAATTACAGTGTTTTATCAACAAACACCACACAGCATGTTGACTTACGAGTTACAGCTTTCCATCTACCAAAGTTGGAAGGGGTGCTTAGAATCATTAGATGAGCTTCAATGGCTCACCTAATTTCCAATCCAACTATTTCTTACAACTGTGTAAAGCTCAATGTTGGCGGCAAGTTCTTTGAAACCACAGTCTCCACCCTCCGATCCCCCGATTCCCTCCTCGCCGCCTTTTTCAACCCTCTAATTCTGGATAAAGTGGAGGATACAGAGAGAGTGATGGGGGATGATAAAGAGAATTGAAGGAGGTGGGGGGGGGGGGGGGGGGAGAGATTGCTTGAGCAGAGAAGATGCGGAGGGGATTGAGATTTGGGAGAGTTACAATTATTCAGGAGCAGTTTCTGTTTCCTCCTAAAGCGTAAAATGGACATTCAATCAGTCGATTCTTTTCTATTTGGTATGGAGAATTGGGTCTCTGAAGCGAGGCTTTGTATTCTTTTTCTTGTTGTATTAGTTTTGATTTTTGTTATCAGCTTATAATGAGTTATTAATTTGTCTGAAAATAATATCACTCACGATAACATAATAAAATATTTTATAACTTCAATTCAATCAATTCGTATAATCATTTTTAAGAATTATTTTTTTGTAAATGTCACGTGATCATTATTCACTTTCCAAAAATTCAACTTACTAGAGTGTGAAGCATCAATGTTTATATATCTAAGGATTGTCTCTTTTTTATCTGACGTGAGATTGAAATATTTTGCTTATTTTTTTGAAATGCTTCGCATGATATTCTTCTCCGTTCAATCTGGCGATGTCCCTGTAACGGCTTTCACCCTTTCTAATCCCTTTTAGAGGGCTTTGACATAATCAAATTCTGTCACCGTACTTTACCCTATCACGTTGTTAAGTGTTTGGAGCGCTTTGATGTGATCAACTTCTGCCTTTGTGCTTTATCCCAGTACATTGTTAAACGGCCAAAGCGGATCACTTTATCTACCTATTTGGGGTGCTTTGCATGGAATCAGATGAGTCGACACTTTGTTGGCTGCCGTGAAATATGAAGAACCGAGGGAGAAAGAGACTGATACCCTCTTGGAGGTGCTAGAAGTGCTGGAGACCATTAGCGATGTGATGTCCGCAAAGCTGCCTAGCAAGCTGCCACTCGAGAGGGAGGTGGACCATAAAAACGAGTTGGTGCCGAGGCCAAGCCACCAGCCAAGGTCCCTTACAGGATGTCATCCGGAGAAGCTGAGGAAGCAGCTCGGGGAGTTGATTGATGCAGGTTATATCAGGCCATCGAAGAGCCCATGTGGTGCCCCAGTGTTGTTCCAACGCAAGCATGATGGGTCCTTGTAGTTGTGTGTGGATTACAAGGCACTGAACAATCTGATCATCAAGAGCAAGTATCCTATCCCATTCATTGCAGATTCGTTCAACCAACTTGCAAGCGCAAGGTGATTCACCAAGTTAGATTTGAGATCAAGTTATTAACAGATCAAGATCGCATAGGAAGATAAGCTTAAGACAACGTGTGTCACTTATTATGATTCTTATGAGTTTTTAATTATGCTATTTGAACTTACCAATGCCCCACTAACATTTTGCACACTCATAAATAAGATAAGAAATAATTATGATATCATTTGTTACATTATTATTATTTTTTTTTGTAAAATCAACTTATTGAAATGTGTAACACCAACACTTATATCCAACAACCTTTTGTTTTTTATCTAATGTAAAATTAAAACATTTTATTTGCATTTTTGAAATGTTTGACATTATTTAAATTCAATATTCAAAATTTAATATATACCACTCTTTTTTATTTTTATGTTGTGGCTTTTTTGTTTAAAAAAAAAAACTTTAATTTTCAAAATACTAATATATCTTTAGACAGTACGGTGTTTTTAATTTAGGTATCAGCTTCAATTTTGACTGGCAGGCAATGGTCTCCGTTGTGCTTTTTCCTCCAAGGCACAGTGATGGATCGATAGTGAATTAATGGAACGAAATGCAGCAATGAGGTTGGTCATGAAACATCTTTCAGGGGCAGGGTTTTTTGTTGCATTATCTTTGTTCACTACTTCAGTCAAGGAATTTCCTTTGCCGTTCCCTTAAAAGGAATATGTCTTCATCCCTTGTTTCTCTTACTACAAACCTATCTATCTCACTCTTCAAATTTTGTTTTTGTTACAAAAAATGTTGTAACCTGAATATAAAAGAAAAAACAAGTGCTAAAATTTTAATCTTATAAAAATAATTATATGAATCAACCGAACTAAATTTAAATTTAATATAAATTTAAATACAAAAACAAGTTTTTTTTTTTTTTTTTTTTATCATGTTCTAATTGATAGTTACCCCTACAAATTTTCTTTTCTTTTCTTAATCTTGAATTGTTGATTAATAAGTAATGACAAAGTGTTAAAGTTGTGTAGAAAATGTTATTCCATTTAGCATAGTCAGTTTGCACAGTTATTATGTGTTTGTCTTTCAAAAGGTCTCTTGAGAGAATTTTTCATGTTCTGATTCTTATTGTTGCTGCTGTTATTTGGTGAAGCCGATACCTGATTCTTTTTCCTCGTCATTTTTTACTGCTACTTTTCTTCTAATATGATGATGCAACAGCCATGACGGCTGCCAACAGGAATGTTGTTCCTCGTAGAAACTTAAGAGGTTTAACTTTTTAATGCTTTTAAAATCTAAGCTTGCCTGCAGCATAGTGCAATTCTTCCCCTTACATATTTCTTTCTTTTCTTTTGCATCATAGAAAAGTTTGTTTCTATAGTTGGTGATATCTTTTCAAATGCTCTCTTCTATAGAATCAAAGCTTCTCCAGCTCCTGAAGTAGTTTTACTTATAGGGCATTAGTAACTGAAATCTAAGCCGTTAAAACAGTGAACCAAGCTGAGGAAAATTTGGTTGCTGTCTGCGGTTGGCACCAAAAGTTCACATTAGTTGCTTTAGTTAGACGGATGATCCAAAACATTTTCCAAAGTCAAAAGTTACAACTACAGCAATCAAATTGATAATATGGTGCGTTTACTCTCTAGAGTCTGCATTCTCATCCGAGAAACAAATGAAATCTTGACAAAATGCAAAAGCAACCCTGAAGAAACAGAACAATTATACAGGCATAAACCACAGAAATTGCTGATTAATGGAGGATTGGAGCAATGTCTGTGGCAAATTTTTAAGTTAAACATGCAGGAAAATGCATGAATTCTACACGTAAAAATCATTGTAAATGATTCACAAGAGTTGCAAGGTTGCTCCTAGGCAAAATTTTCAGAAATGGACAGAAGCAGAATTTCTCTTTTCAATTTTCAGCTGGTGATGGTATTTATTTATGCAAAAAACCATAAAATTCTAGGATGAACACCCCCAACTTAAGCAAAGTAACTAAACATAAAGAGAGTACACCATCATATATATAAAAAATGAAGAACTTACTGTCAAAGACAAACAGATCACATACACCACAAAAGGTTCAAGCTGAATGAAATTAAAGCTAATTTTAAGATAGTCAAGTTGTCTGTTATTATAACACTACCGTCCAAACAAAACATCCAGAAACCTAACAGTAAATATAGAATTCCTCCCGCAAGATTTGCAATCTACTTGATCTTCTTCTTGGGCCTCAACTGCCAACACAAAGAAATACTCGAGTGTAAACTTGGTGCAGGGGAAAAGCACAAGTTCAGACGAGGTTTACAGGCTAAATCTTGTGTAAGTCATGGGCTCACACATATTTAATGGAATAATAATATGATTACTATAGCTGATTTACCTGATTGCTGTGTCCACACTTCTTTTTTCTGCAGTTTACAGCACGGGGGTGCAGACGAGCATAACACCTATAGCCAAGATATAAACGGTATGATTTCCAGTATGAGAATAGATAACAGAAAGATTTCAGTACTAAATGCAAGCCCATTTTATAAAGGAAAAGAAAAAGAAAGATATTTCATTTACATCTTATGGCATACTTTGGGACTCATAAAACAATTTGGAAACTTCAAAAGAGAAGGGTTAAAAAAATGCAATCAAAGAAGACTCAATAAGGGGAACATACTTGCGGCAAATCATCTTATCCTGGTTGTATTTCCTAGCCAATGCCATCAAAGAAGGCTCAATAATGCCACCACGAAGCCTCAGAACCAGATGCAAGGTTGATTCTGCACAATTCCACACAAACATTCAAATCAAACTAAAATAAACACCTGATCAGAAACAAAAAGTTCCAGAATTTAAATTCAAAATCCCAGTCCTAATTTCAGTACTTAAACAATAAAAAAAATTCAGGGATAACATGAATACAGTTTAGCTCTCATCATTGAGATCCTACAAGATTATGGAGAATTGATCGATAAGGTGGACAATGCTATTCAAGAGCTAATTGAAGTAGTTCTAATGATTCCTATAAATTTCTTCTCACCCACTTGTCTCATTTTCCCAATAAGAAAAACATTACTTAAACATGTTCATGGCTTTGACTCACAGGTCAGTACGGAAACATATAAATTAAAAATAATTTTAAAATCTTTTGTCTAAATTTGTGACGAATTTTTCTCAAGAATCAAACAGGGTCTATGATCAGCAATATTTACCTTTCTGGATGTTATAGTCAGCAAGTGTACGGCCGTCCTCAAGCTGCTTTCCGGCGAAGATCAATCTCTGCTGGTCCGGTGGGATACCTGACAAAATTTACACGGAAAATCCAAACCGTCAAATCCTAGAAAAAAAAAGGCAGTGGAAATCAAAGGAAAAAGAGAAGGAAAAGAAAGAGGAGTATACCTTCCTTGTCCTGGATCTTGGCCTTAACATTGTCGATAGTGTCGCTGGATTCGACCTCTAGGGTTATGGTCTTCCCTGTCAGGGTTTTCACGAAGATCTGCATTCTCTTTAAACCGTGCTTCTGCTTCCCTATTCTTGTCAGGTTTTTTTTTCCCATTATCAGTTCGTTTATATATGTCGGTTTTAGGGATTAGGGTTTTTGACTGTTGTTTGGTTACACGGCTAATTTATTTGATGACAAATTTCAAGGAACGGGAATAGGGAGAGCACCATCCGGGTTATTGTTTGTATTCTCCCTTCACTCACCGACTTATCCTTTTTTATTTTTATTTTTTTTCCTTTAGGCCAAAAAAATAGTTATCATTTACGAAATTTACAATTTTAATTTGCATGTACCTATGTTTATTAAAATTCTTAGAAAAACAAAATTTAACTATCAATACAAATTATTTAAAAGAATTAATCCAACTTCCAAAATGATGGTTTTTGTTTTATGCTTATCATGAGGTTATTGAAAAAAATAATGGAAAGAGATGAAAAAAACCTTAAATCTTATGATTAAAATTTATAAACACTTTTTTTTCTTTATCTTAATTATTATATTAACAAATTTTTTATTCTTGCCATTTTCTTTTCTTCAAGCAAAGTAAGAAATACTCTTTATTATGGTCTAATCAAATAAATATGAATGAAGCAATTAATGGTAACTTTTATTTTTCATAAGAAAAAACCATTAGCAAAAACTTAAAGTGATATAGAAAAATAATGACATCTAAATTGATTAAAATTTATTATAAAACTTTTTTATTATATGAAATAAATATGATTTGAATAATATAATATAATATCATATAATTATCACAATTTTAAAACTTTAATACTATTTAATTATGTAATTATATTTCTAATTTTGTACATTAAGAAATATTAACTACTTAAACGTGATATTTATAAATTGAAATTTGTTGTTAATACATTTTTCTTTTTTTGAATTTGGCGAGAATAATTACATTAAATGCAAAAAAAAATTCTTATAATGATTTTCCTAATGAGTAATTTTATGGTCTTATTTTATTTTTGTTAATATATTATTTATAATAATAATTTTATATTAAATACAATAGTGAATAGTTAATATAGTCATTTTTTACACATCAAGTGAATAAATATATATTTTATAATACTGTAATATCCCTTTCTTCAAAATACTATTCACAAAAATTGAATCTTAATTGATTAAAAAAAAACAAGCTCTTTTTTTTTTTAAGTTAAATTTATAATTAATTATTACATCCAATTAATCAATTGAATAATCAGTAATTACATCGCTAAATAATTAATTAATAAATTATATAACTTAACTAAACAATTAAACTCACACACAATGACTCTTGAACATAGGATCTCAAGGTTTTATTAAATATATAATATAATTAGCTTGTGACATATGTGAAGCATGAATTGTTTTATTTATTTAAATGTGTGTTTACATTGTAAAATTTGTATTTTCCTACAATTATATCTAATTCTTTAAAATTTTATGACATATATAAAATATAAATATATATTCAATTCACATGTCATAAGAAAATTAAACTTTACTATTATTATCTTGATCAAAATGTTAAAAACAAATTTAAATAAAAAAGAGATATTAGATAGGGATAAAAAGTAAAAAAGGATTGAATATAAATATAATATTGGTATTTTAGAAGAACATAAAATATAATATTGAATGATCAATTAAGTAATAAAAGAAGTATTGATATACCTTTACTAAATTATTATTTTGATCAAAATATTGAAAAAAATCAATTAAAAATGTGTGACAAACAAAAAAATAAAGATTAAAAATGATATCAAAAGAAAAAAATCATCTAAGTAAAACAAACAACAAAATCACAAAAATAATACAAATCTTAAAGAAAAATTGCATACTAGGAAAAAATGACATAGCACATATTAATAATAGGGTAAAAATGATATGTGTTTTTTAAATTTAAAAATAAATTAATAATAAGGTATTTGAAAATTGAAAAGGATGGAAGAGATATGTGTAATTTTAAATTTAGAGAGAATTTTTTTTGTTTTTAAAATTTTTGCATATTTATAGTAAAAAAATCGATAATTTAATTTGTTTTTAAATTTAATATTATTTTAATTAAAAATTACTTACTTGGTTAATGAATGTTTTGTCATATATTATTTTTTATTTATATGATGTCGATTTAATCTTACACAAAAGTTTCAATTCCCTTTCTATATATAAAAAATATTTTTAGTTATTTTATTATTAATTATTTTCTTAAAAAATTTTATAAATATTTATCATTTTTCGATATAAATCATAACATATAAGTACTATATTTGAAACATTGAAGAAATATGATTGTTGTAATTTATTTTACCACGTACTTACATAATTTAAATACAAAATAAAGATATGTATATGTTTTATATAAAAAAGATTTAGTTAATTTTAGATGAGATTTCAATTTTTTTTTTTTACTGTGATGGTCCCAATAACATTATCTCATCTAAATAAAGATAGAAATTCTCAATTACTTAACATAAAAAAATTTGAATAAATCTAATATTTTAAGATTTGAAATATTTTTAAAATAATAATAAAATTATTTGATAAATATTTATAATCAAGAAATTATCCTACGTATTAATAATATAAATTATTCACATAAAATTATAAATAAACAAATTTTATTGAATAATTATGTAATTATAATATGATATGATATATGATTACTATATAATATTACAAGAGAAATTTTTTTTTACACATATTAGCCGAGTCTTTAGAATAAAATCTTTAATGAAATTCCTCTTTAATCAGTAGTCGTCACGACACACTAAGTACAGCAGAGGAAATACCACGACGCTTCCCCGCATGCCAAAATGAAACAGAAAACAGCGCGTAAACACACGGACCAATCTTGAAGCAATCAAGTATATGTCACTCACTTGTCTTTTTGCAGTCATAATTTTAGTCATTTGTAACTAAAAAAAATTATAATTTTGAATTACTTTATTATTTCTAATAAAATTATTTTGTAACCTTCAGCTTCCAATCACGTCCAATTTACCTTATCTTTTCTCATAACTTGATGCCAAGTTACCAACTAAACAAAATTCCATTTTTTTCCGTTTAAATCACCGAAGCGAGGCTCCATCTTTTCTCATTATCTAATGGTTAGTTACCGTTGAAGGCAATGCATCCGTTGCTAGTGATGAATCTGCAAGTGGCAAACAACTTAATGGTTCTCTGTCTTGTGAGTTGTTTGATCATTCAATACGACCTGCTTTCTAAACTCAAAAGTTAAAATAATAAAAAAATCCGTGAATTATTTTAATTTTTTAAAGGAATCTTTATATTTTTATTATATTTAAATAAACTCTTACATTTTAATTTGTATTTATATAAGCTCTTATTTCAAACGAAAACTTGAATTATGTTAAAAATTTATTTAAGTACAAATTAAAAATTAAAGATTTATCTAAATAAAGTGATAAAATTCAAAAAAAAAATTGTTATTTTAACTAAATTCAAACTTGTATTTGAGTTCTTATTTTTACACTCATGGTATGGGAAACTTGGAGATAAGTCCCCATGTTTCACTCAACTGTCCTTTAGTCTTAATTGCCTTAGTTGCAGAGGCTATATTGTAAGTGCAAAAATGTTTACTTGATTGTATTGAACAATTTTTAAGAAAGTTAGAAATATAGATGCAATTGGTAAGATGGCTGCAATGAGTAAAATTGTGGTTGTAAATAAAATTTCTCCTCTTGATTAATTAAATAAATACAGAGCATTCTAGAATAATTTTATAATCATACATATATGTATACATAATTTTAAATTTGTTAAAAATTCAGTCTAATTTAATAAAAAAGTTAGAAATAACTTAATTAATCGGACTTTATCCTTACCGAATAAAATTAATAAAAAAAAATAAATTAGGAATAACTTCATCTATGAGCTTTCATAACAAAAATAGAACTAATTAAATTGAAGGATCCATAGATTCTCTTGAAAAGCTTGAATGATTATTGAAATGGAAGCCTGCATTTTGCCTATCCTTTTTTGTTTTATATTGTGGTTTGGTCCCTATGTCCCTTCTAGTCGTCTTTTTTCTTCTTTTATGTGTACTAATATGTAACGTCATGTTTCTAATGGAATTTCGTGATTCGGTAACCCACAAAAAAAAAAAAAAAAAAAACGAATTCCTTGATGTTTTAAACGAAATATTATTTTTTCTAATGGAACAATCCGACTACTAACAAATGATATAGAGATAATAAATAACAATTCCAAAAATATTTAATTTTTTTGTGAGTAATTGAACAATGAACTTGGAAAATAATTTAACACTTTTATGCTTAAGGTTGACGTGATAAGAATTTTTTTTCATCGACTATCCAATCCAAATGAATGCCGGAAATTGTTTTGGTTTTATTACTTGTACATATGATGTAAAACCTAATATTGTTATAAAGAGGAAGAAACTACAAGAGCTAGCATACTTTACCTTCAAAGACAAAGTTTCATGAGAGAAAAAAAGGGGAGAAAGAAAGATGAGTACCCCACAAAATCAGCTAAGTTTGACCTCCATGTCTGAAGAGGAAGAAGCATTTGGTTACGCTTGGTGTTTACGTTCGTCCGACATGTTGTGTTTTGTCCTGGATGCTGCCATCCAGCTTGGTGTCTTCGAAATCATAGCAAAAGCAGGCCCTGGTGCACATCTTTCCTCGTCCGAGATCGCTTCTCAGCTTCGTGCAAACAACCCTGAGGCGCCTTCCCTTCTGGATCGCGTGCTACGACTCCTTGCTTGCTACGATTTAGTTACCTGCGTTACGCGCAACCTTGATGGAAATGAAGATGGTAATAATAAGATTGAGAGGGTCTATGGACTTGCTCTGCCTGGAAAAGCATTTGTTCCTGATGAAAATAAAGGATCTTTGGCTGGTTTTACTTTCAGCAAGACCAAGATAGAAGCCTGGTGAGTAAGTAGAGCTATATATGGCTAATCTAATCACTTTCATATTGCTTGTTCTGAGATTTGTTTGAATTTTAGCTATAGTTTCTTCTTTCTCTTATTATCCAATATTATATATATAAATAAGATAATGATCATAGTTTTATTACTTTGTTCTCTTTTTTTATACATATCACATGCTCTTCCTCACCCCCAATGTGTGATGGGAGAAACTGTTAAGGTTATCATATGTCGGTTGTGCAAAAAATTAGAGGTCACTTTAATGTTGACAAGATCCAAAATTATGGTATCAAAGTCTGGTTGCCAACATCTCCCTATTAGCCAGGCATAGAAACTCTTCTCTAAAGCCTGATATGTGAAGGGGAAGATTATTGAAGTTATCTTACATCGGTTGTGAAAAAGGGCTAGTGGTCACTTTGTAAATATGAGGGAAAGCTTCACCCAAAGTCGCATAACAATAGTTTTATTATTAGCTTTTCTTTTATATAATATATAAAACTTGGAGCATTTGCATGTATTGTTGTGTGTATAGCCTATCCTTGAAAGATAAGATTCTTGATGGTGGGAATGTGTTTGAGAGACTTTACGGGGTGCAAATGCCGGTGTACCAATATATGAGCTTAAATTCAGAAATGGCGAGGAAATTTGACAGCACAATGACTAATATTTCAAAGATTGTTATGAAGAAAGTGTTGGATAAGTACCAAGGATTCCAAGGGATAACAACATTGGTAGACGTTGGAGGTGGATATGGCATTACTCTCAGCATGATCATCTCTATGTACCCTTCCATTAGGGGCATTAACTACGACTTGCCTCATGTAATACAAGGGGCACCATCTTTTTGCGGTATGTGAAATTTAATTTCAATAAAAAAAAACCCTCAATTTTAGTACATGCAATTTCTTAAAAGGAAAATTTATTAAATATTTGTTTATATACAGAGAGATTTATCGTGTATTAAAAAAAACTCAGAAAAATGAACAAATTTTCCCTTTACAGGACGATGGTTTTGAACTCTAATCAGATATGACTAATTTAATTTCTTTTTCTGGTCATTTCTTTTGCTGTTATTGCAGATCAATTAAAACCAAAAATGCAATGTCCACCAATTATTCATATTTGCTAATATCCATAAAGGTAAAAAAGGAAACAAAGTCAATCAAAGCAATTAGCAAAGAATTAGAAGACGTAAACCTTGAGTTTTGCCAAGACAATTCATCTATACATTTTTTGAAGTTAGGAGTTGAATTTTAATAAAATTAAGTTGCGATCCTTGGTACTTGCAGATTCTTCTTTCTCATTTCCCTTTAAACCTTTGTCTTTTTTGTAAAAAAAAAAAAAAGAATTATAAGCCCTTTTTGTTTTTAATGAGTAAATCTTCGAAACATTGCAGGCATCGAACACATTGGAGGAGATATGTTCTCAAGTGTTCCTAAAGCAGATGCCATAATGATGAAGGTACGTATATTTTGATTGAGATGATACCTTTATGTTCAAAATTTCAGAAGATCATCTATTCCCTTTTAAGTTGATAAATTATATAGCAATAACATTTTTTTAACCATCCCATCAATAATAGACGGAATTAAAATTTGTCATACGAGCCATATTTTCATTAATCTAACAAATCATTATTATGTCAATAACATCTTGAGTTAGTGGCAAGAAAAAGATCCTAAAATTTTAAAATCTTAATTCCATTCAAATTACATTGTGCGTGAGTTTGATTCAATTATGTATATAATATAAATTGATGAAGCGAGAACAAAGGCAAACAAAAATAAGTTGAATTGTGTTTGGTAGGATGTACTTCACAATTGGAATGATGAACGTTGCTTAAAGGTGTTGAGAAACTGCTACGAGGCATTGGCGGACAAAGGGAAAGTGATTGTAGTGAGTTACGTGATGCATGAGGAACCACAGGCAAGTAATGGTGCTAAGTTTGTTTGTCATATGGACCTCTTGATGGCATTGCAAGATGGAGCAAAGCAAAGAACAGAAAGCCAATTCAAGGACTTGTCAAAGGCTGCTGGATTTTCAAACTTTCAACTTAGCTCTCGTATTTTCAATGCAATTGGTGTCATGGAATTCTACAAATGATTTTGCTTTAATTTGTTTTGTTTCTAATTAAGGTGTTTTGATGTTAATCCAGATTGAATAATAGTATAATGCATGGAAATGGTTCCACATCATGATCATCATTTTTCAAAATATTTTCAAGGTGTTGATTTAACTAAACTGTTCTATGGAAAATCTATATCTACAGTAAAAACTGTCCCCATTATCAACTGCATGGACAGATGAGCAATGTCCAAAAAATTGATTTAAGGAGTATTTTTTAGCTTTAATTTAATCTAAACATATATATAATTTTATTTATAATCTCATGTTTGCATGACACATGTCCTTTTTGGAATATATAAAAGAGGGATTCTTTTTGTTTGTTAAAGATAATCATAAAATTAAAGATAAGGATAAACGACGATAAGAAGAATGTTTCGTAACTAATTGCAAGTATGAAAAGGAGAAAAAAAAAAAAGAGAGAAACGTAAAAGAAACAACTGTTAGAAAAAATACATAAAAAAAAAATAATATAAGAGAATTTTTATTTTGAGGCATGAAAAATATTTTTTTTAAGATAATTATGCTTTTAAGATTTAACAAAACTTCAAATTCTCTAATAAGAAGCAGTGAAAATGATTATATTTAAAAATTTATTTATAATGAATGAATAAACATAAATTTTTATTCAGATGGTTATGATCTTTTGTATAGTCATGATCTTTATGAATAATAATCTATTTATATTTAAATAATTATGATTATTTGTCATATAATAATTGTTTCTGTTCAAATATAATTATTTAAAATATAAATAAAATTAATATAAAAATTAATTTTATTCATCAATAATTAAATCTTTCTATCAATATGATATGCATCACCTTCTAAACTACTAATAATCTCTCACTAGTTTAGAATATTAGTACTTAATTTTTAACCTTTTATACGAATAAATATTATGAATATAAAAAAGTATCTTTTAATTTAAACATTCAATTAGCTTATATATCTTAGAATTCTAACGAAATTGAAGGTATCCGCAAATTAAACCTCAATTCGTACTATTAGAATTAAAATTATACTATACATAATACTTATTTACTCTTATATTAGAAGTTTATAACTGATTTTGGCACTACTATGACTATGTGCTTATCCTATTTATAAATATTTACAAGAAAGACCTCAATTCTTTTTATTGAAGTGACAACACTTCATGTTTATATGGATAGAGTTTCTATTATGTCTCCATTGCTTTAGATATTTAAGAGTATAAAAACTCATCCTCCTCACGTAATAGATCATATTAGTTTATAAATTTTGAATGAATTTTATCGGTGCTTAACGAACACATATCAATAACTTGTTTTTACCCAATAAACTTTGTAATTAGAGGTTATTAATTCAAAGTTGGGTTCTCATTATTAGTGTCTAATAGTAAGAATCTAAATCCATTCTACTTGTAATACTACTAACCAAATATCTTGAAATTCATTTTTTTATGGTAATTATCCCAATTTGAAATTGAATCTCTAATATAATTACTTCAAGCTAATATGTCCAAACTTTTCATTTTGCATATCATTTATATGCCCCAAACATTGTTGCCTCATTCTTATCATTTAAAAAATAGTCGATTTTAGTTGTGGCCACAACTTTATACTCATAAATTTCAACCATTCTATTTCTATATTTTTATACATCTTTAATACAATTATACTTCTAGTACAATTAGATAAACTCAATGAATAAACTAAACTATCTTAATCCTTTTAATATTTTTAAAGACCTTTTTATGATTTTACTTTAATAAGTGTCTAAATTTATTAGCTTTTATAATTTGCTCATAGAATTATAATGAAATCTTACAACACTATGATAGCAATTTTTTTGTTATTCTTATCACCCTCACCATGTGCAAATAGCATTCTTTTATTAAAGAATGTCTCATTCAATTGTCAAGATATCATTTATACTTAATCAAGTTGTCATTTCATTTATCTTATTATTATTTGATAATTTTTTTTTAAGTAAGAGGCCTCTAAATCCACACTTATGAAAAATAACTAGCAAATATCTTAATATTTCTATAAAAATTTCAAAATTTTTATATTTTAACTCAATATAAAAGTTTACATCAATAGGTAGATTGAATTTATCCCCACTTGAGATTGAATCTCTAATATAATCACTTCAAATTAATATGTTCAAACTTTTCATTTTGCATGTCATTTATATGTTCCAGGCATTATTGCCTCATTCTTATCATTTAAAAAAAAAGTCGATTTTAGTTGTGACCACAACTTTATACTCGTAAATTTCAACCATTCTATTTCTATACTTTTATACATCTTTAATACAATTATACTTTTAGTATAATTGGATAAACTCAATGAATAAACTAAACTATTTTAGTCCTTTTAAGATTTTTAAAGACTTTTTTATGATTTTACTTTAATAAATGTCTAAATTTATTAGCTTTTATAATTTGCCTGTAAAATTATAATGAAATCTTATAACACTATAGTGGCAATTTTTTTTTTTAATTCTTATCACCCTTACCATATGCAAATATACATTCTTTTATTAAAGAATATCTCATTAAATTGTCAAGATATCATATATACTTAATCAAGTTGTCATTTCATTTATCTTTTTATTATTTGATGGTTTTTTTTTTTAAATAGAAGGCCTCTAAATCCACCTTTAATGAAAGATAACTAGCAAATATCTTAATATTTCTATAAAAATTTCAAAACTTTTATATTTTAACTCAATATAAAAGTTTACATCAATAGGTAGATTTCAAATATAATCATGCTTCTATAGTATCTTTTTGAGACTTTTTATGTAAATTCATAAATATTTATTATGAATCTATTTCATCATGGACATTATTAATAATTTTTATTACCATGAACAAAACCATTTTCATCACCCAAATGGATTAAATAACATTTCTTTTGCTATTATAAAAGTTTTCATATTCACTAGGTTTTTGAATTACTCATAGCTTCCAAAGTAAATATACTTTGAAATTTTCACTATATAAAACTATAGATGATAAATCATTTGTACAATCCATGAATTAGACCATATATATAACAAAAAATTACTATAATGTGATCAAAATTGTAGCATTAATTTTGGCTTATGGCTATTCTAAGCCAGCCATAATAATCCACATCATACCTACAAATCATGTAGATTTAGTTATTGAAGTTATCTCATTTATAATGATGGTTTTTAGTGAAAACTAACTATCTTAAATATTATCATGAGTTTCTAATGCATATATTAATTGTCCAATAGCAAATTTCAAGTTCATGAGTATTGAAACCTCTAAACTTGATTTCAAAATTTTATGAGAACTTTATTTCTCAACTATTGTGCAGCCTATATATCTTTATTATTGACCACTTTTAATTGGTCATAACATTTTTAAATATATAATAAATTCAAACTTTACTTATAGGACTAATATGCCTATGTACAATAAGAGTCCATAATATATTTAACTCCAATTTCAAATACTTTCACAATCATTTTGTGATTAATATGTTCATATTAAATCAACATATCAACGCAAGTCATGAAACATGAATCCAAATAATCATTTTCATAAAATAGTATAAACAATAATTATAATATGTGTTTTACTCATATTTCATGCAAAAACTCGTGATGAATTTGCATTGGTTAAATCATTAATTGGCTACCTCAAAGGCTTACGGCTTTCACAAATCAATATTATTATCTAAGCCTATATATTAATTTGGTGTATAATTAACCACATCCTTGCCACTATCATGAAACTATTGAAAACCTCAAAAACTTATTCATTTTTCATTTTAACAGCCTATAAAAAGGCTATTTTTTTGTATAAAAAGTAAAACATCTTCATTGTCTTTAACCAATAATGTATTAATTGGACAATGGCATTCTATCTCTATAGTCCATATCTTTCTTATATGTATAAGAAAAAAAATTTCATCCCATTTAATTCATTTTTGTAATATATGGCAAACTATACCAATGTTTTTCATGCCATCACAAAATGGAATTAAACACTTGCATATATTGATACCTTTGAAACATTGAATTTGCATGTTCTTTTCTAATTTATAAATATGGCTAATTAAACATTGATGAGTATCCTTCAAAATGCTAGTAATAGACAAATGCTTCAATATTTTTAATGACATGCCTTTTTCTTAATCAATATCCCATACACAAAAAGCAACAATGTTTTTGTGCAACCATTGATTAACTTTTTTATGGCTATTTATGATTTTCACTTTGTGATTGTTCACAATAAAATTTTATTTTATAAAATCACTTTTATTGTAATGCACCCAGCAAGCCAAATACATGTCACATTGCCTATGTTTTTAATAATAACAATTATTTGGGTTATTATCCACTAATTAATCTATAAAACACCTTATCTTAATAATAATTATCCACATATATCAATTTAATTTTAATTGATCTTCATGAAAATTAAACACTAGTCAGATTTTGAACCAATAATAAATTAAAAAAAATATATCAACATTTGATTTATAAATGACCAACAAATATAGAACTATACAAATAGCTTGACTCAACTTATTATCTCAATTTTGGTGCCATAATTTAAAAATAAAACTAATCTTGCAGCCAAATATTATTTTCTACATATATTCTCTACTTACATCTAATTTTTCATGGTAAATTTCTTTACCCATTTTTGATTGTTTTTATAGAAACTATGAAACAATTTACCTGTTTTATATATAAATAAGACATGACAATTAAACAATTGACCATTCCATTAGAACTCAATTTAATTCATCACTTAATAACAAACGATAATTCTTTTGATCGTAGATCAATTCATATCTTTCTTTTTTATGTTTTCAGGCTATTTTTCATCCCAATTTTTATAAGCATCAATTTTTTAAACAGATATAATACAATTTATTAAATCCAATTGTGGAGCCAATTTCAGTATATGCATAAACTTATACAATATAATTAATATTTTGCATATTATGATTTGACTTTACACACTAATGAAATTCATTGTTACTATATTTATCTCATCCAATCAAAATTTTTTTACTAGCAATTATGTAAAAAATAAAATACATACCTCTAATGAAGATCTTTATAAAAATTAATATTTTGGTCCATAGAAACATTAATCTTTTGACACTCTGAGCCTTCTCTAATATTAATCTCCAAATCATACCAATTTCTTTTCCTTCTATCTTCCTTATGCAAAATATAAATTTATCATAATTGCCTTTAAATTGTTAGAAAAAATAAATAAAAGAATAGCAATAATAGAAAAGAATTTTGGCTTTAAGGTGTGAAAAACACTTTGTTAAAGGCAATTATGCTTTTAGGAGACAATAAAGTCTCAAACTCTTCAATCAGAAGCAATGAAAATGGTTATATTGAAAGATTTATTTATAATGAATGAACAGACATAAACTTCTATTCAAATGGTTATAACTTTTTATATAATCATGACCTTTATAAATAATAATCTATTTATATTCAAATAGTTATGACTATTTGTCATATGATAATTATTTTTGTTCAAACATAATTATTTAAAATATGAATAAAATTAATACAAAAATTAATTTTATTTATCAATAATTAAATTTTTTAATCATATAAGAGATGTATCACATTTTAAACTACCAACAACAACCAAAATGAATTAGTCCAAGCCAATCCTTGCCTCTGTCAGATTTAAAAACTCGTTTCTCCCCTCCTAAATCAACTCAACTCCTTGCTTTTCCTCTCAGGTGAATCGTTTCTTTCACTTTTCTTAACTTCTCTCACTTCAACCACACTCTTCTCATTTACTAAACTTTCATCAAAGGTTTTACTTCTTTACAAAACCCAACTCCTTGTTCCATCTCATATTTACCAATGACTAGTCTGATGAGTAAGAGGACCCAAAAATAGCATCGAATTTCTTCAATTGGGCACGTAAAAATAACGAAGTTTCTCACAATTCTTTTGTTTGTAGCTTTATACTTAGAATTTATGCTAATAAGATAGAATGAAAGAGTTTTAAATGAATTTAAGGGAAATGAAAGACCAAAATAGGAATTTAATATTTTAATTGTTATTTTGTTGTATATTTCATTACAGGAGATTGATTTCAAAATCATGATTAAAATCTTCTACTTAAATTGATGATTTGTGTTCGTTTTAGGCAGCTATTAGAACTATTGAAGATAGTCTTACAATAATAAATATTAAAACTCATATAACGGTCATGTTAACTCTCATATTGAGCTGTTAGTTCTAATCTAGAATTTGTTAGTCAATTTCTTAAGTAGTTTTCTTAGTTCTTTAAAACTTATTCATTAAGTGAATGTTTTCTAAAGATAGAATTACAACAAAATATAAAACCTCAATTCTTTTGTTACTCATTTAAATTTGGCAAAACCAAATACTTCTATGCATGTTTTTAGAAGTTATAGAGTTTCTTATGTTAGTAAGTTAATTTTATTTATGTTTATAGGAGATTGTTTAATTTGAGTGTTGATATTTTTTTGTTGTTTTAAATAACTTTTTTATTATGTGACTACCAATTAAAGTCTTATAATTCTTATTATCATTATTAAAAGAATGACAATAAAGTTCTTTTAGTATCCCTATATTAACCCTTTCATGTGGTAGACGTAATGAAGCTATAGAGATTGAGAAATGAACCTAAATTATTATGTTTGACCTTTTCATATGCTAGACATTGTTTATACATGACACATTGAAAGGGCATCAAAACAAAATAGTTTGGTGCTTTGCATGTTTTAAATTTGAAAATTGAGTGTACAAAATGTAATGATCTATAGATTTATGTTTTGAATTCAATGTTGTAACCAGTCTTTTAGTTGTTTGTGTATATGGGTAGATGTTGCATTTTCTTTTATGATTTTTTTATTAGTTCCTTTTTTCCCTTACAAATTCCAACAAAATTAGAACGACAATAAAATAATGAATAACAAGGTCTTGAATTTTTGAAACAATGTGACTATCAAGCTGGAATAAGTTAATTTCGATAGAGAGAAATATCTTGGTTTGCAAGATACATATGATTTATTCTGAATGATTGAATATGGGTGTTCAAATTAGTGGTAATGACTGAAAACTCTACTGGACATGGTTTTTCCAACCATTCTTTTAGTTTGCAACAGTACAAATTTCTAACACTTTCATTTTGTTGCTATAACACTGACAAATTATTTCATTTTCTTTTTTTCCCAATAGCCAAATAAATTTTCAAAGGTAGCAAAATGATTTGGGAATTGAAAAGTTGATAGTTGTTGGTACTTAGTAGTCATGGCCTTAAAAGTTACTACTTAAAAGCTTGGTATTTGACAAGAACTTTCATAAACCTAAAGGGTCCATAATTACTATACACACGATCAATCACAGTATTTTAAAAACAATGTCGAATGTGATAGGTACAACACATAAGCCTAACTTCCATGTCTTTTAAATGCTTAAGTTTTAATTTTTTTTTCAATGTTTTGGTGCTTTCATTTTCAAAATTTTCAGCTCTAATGGGACAATTTTTTTTTAGGCTTAAAGTTTTTAGAGAATTTGAGATAGATCAAAAAGATTTTTTTAAAATCTTAAATTTTAATGAATCAGAATTATTATTTTATTTTTAATTGAATTTAATGAAATATGAATAAGTAAGCAGCAAAGATAAATGGTGAATCCTATTGTATTTTTATTTTTGTTTTTCATTTGTTTAAAATAATCATGATTTATAGTAATGAAAAATGAACTTTTTTTTTTTTAATTTGTATTTGTCCGTTTGAATGTTATGTAGGAATTTGTTTGTATGTGTGCATATTAAATGTTATGTTGTTTTGTTCTTATGGATTGTTTTCATCAAAATATTCTCTCTTTGTTAATTATATTTTTTGATAAAGTTATTATTAAACAATTGATAAAAGGTACATTTTCACCTAATTAGTTCAAATATAGTTCTATGATTTTTTACATTATGATATTACTGATAATATTAATTGTAATTAGTAGTATTGATGTCTTTTTTTATTTTAAAAAAATGTGAATTACATTCGAATTATGTTAATTGAAAATAATTGAAAATAAATTCCTTATTCTATCTCTTTTTATTGAAAGATTTTATAATTTATAGGAGTGAATTAAGTTAGAAGAAATGAAAAAAAAATATCTTTGTGCATTGTTAGTGGATTTATTTTTTGATATTAAACTCATATGCAATTCAAATTGTTTGTCCCTTTTCATTGGTTTGGGACTTTTTTTTTGGGGGGGGGGGGGGTTAAATTACCAATTTTATTTAATTTTACATATTCTTATTGATCAATACGTAATTATTATTTAATTACATTATATTCGTTTTATGAGCCCGCAGCGAAGCGCGGGTATCATGCTAGTTAGTGTCAAAGTTGTAATTTAGGAGTACATACGCACACTGCATTCCTTTATTAAGAGGCTTCGTTTTGGGGGTTTTAGGGTTTTTATTTTCTTCTTATAGTTTTATTCTTTCTCTCAACCCAAAATGACTGCTCAGACGGACAAAGAGATCGAAGAGATCCTCGCTGCCCATCTGGACCAACAGAAAATCGATGTATCGTTTTCCATTATCTCCCCCTTTGATTTCCTAAAATTAATGGTTTTTTCCTTTTATTGATTTTCATTTTCATTTTATTTTGGGTTCACAGTCCGAACAACCTGTAGTTGAAGATGACGACGACGACGACGACGACGACGATGAGGACGATGACAAGGATGAAGATGATGCTGAAGGTGAATTTTCGTATTCATTTGTTACATTTTTAGCTTTGGGTTGAAATATTTTCAATAATGTTTTGGTATTTGATTTAATTGTGTCTGTTTAGTTTGTTCTTTTATTGTAGTTCAATTTGATTTATGTATGGAGATTTGGTAAAAAATTTTAAGATGCATGGATAAGCGAGCTGGCTCGATTGTTTTGGGATTATGCCACTTGACGACTTCCCTGTCAAGTTGATCTCGAGTAGTTCAACTAGTGGGTTTAGCCCTGTTCACGAACCTTGAATTTGTGCTCGAAGCACCTTCGATTCAAGCTTTTTACTGTTTTGACTCGGATAGACTCAATTGTGTTCGTGCATTAAGCTTTGTTATTGATATTAGTGCTACTGCTATGAATTATAACCCAGAAACCTGCATGTCTAGTTGTTTTTTTTTCCCCTTCTTCAGATGTAGGAATTTATCCTGTGAGTTGAAAGAAAATGAGCTCTGTGGTAATTGTGTATTAAATGGTGATTTTGATGGATTTGGATACTGTCTCATGTTCATATATGAAAAGATTAAACCGTCAATGTGTAAAGTTCTTAATGCTGCAAAATGTCTTAATGTGTCATAAAGAGTTTCTTGGCTAGCTTAAGGCATCTATTATTGACCAAATTAACGTGGCACAAGTTCCATGGATCACTGTGTTAAGAATGTCACATTCGGGGAATGACAAGTATGTTAATTGGAGAAGTGCTCTTTATAGAAATGAGTGATCCATTGAACGTTGGTAGTTTTTCTTCTATTCCTTTAGAGATTCATTTTTTCTACTGTATGTACTATCAGGACATCATGATGGAGATGGAAGTGGTAGGTCAAAGCAAAGCAGAAGTGAAAAGAAGAGTCGCAAAGCAATGTTGAAGCTTGGGATGAAACCAATTCCAGGTGTTAGCCGGGTTACTGTCAAGAAGAGCAAGAATGTCAGTCCCCTTTCCATATTACTATCCATTCATTACTTCCTTGCCTTATAAATTATAGTGTTTATTAAGATAACTGATTTTGCTGTTGAACTTAGATCTTATTTATCATTTCAAAACCGGATGTCTTCAAGAGCCCTGCATCAGATACCTATGTGATCTTTGGAGAGGCTAAGATTGAGGATTTAAGCTCACAATTGCAGACTCAGGCTGCTGAGCAATTTAAGGCACCTGATCTCAGCCATGTGGTCTCCAAACCTGAGTCATCAACCCTGGCCCAGGATGATGAAGAAGTAGATGAGACTGGAGTTGAGCCCAAGGACATTGAGTTGGTGATGACACAAGCAGGAGTCTCCAGGTCGAAGGCTGTCAAGGCACTCAAGGCAGCAGATGGAGACATTGTTTCTGCTATAATGGAGCTAACAACCTAAGAATGGTGTTAGTGGCATGTGATGGACTTGGTCGTAGTTAATTTGGTTTGTGAGAATTGTGTGTTCCATGTTGGATATCCCTTTTGTTTTTCAAGTTTCTTTTTAAATGTCATCTTTTCCCTTTTCTTCTTACTGTTATACTAGTAAAAACCATTTGGGATTTTCTCTTCTTTGATGGGTGGAGCTTTTAGTATACTATCAAGTTTTGGTTAGTTAGAAACATTTTTTACCTCAAATTTTTACAGCTTGGGCCAACCATATGTCCGTCCTTGAAGATGTCAAAGACGTGACGCTTTTGGAGCGATCAAAAGGATGCGAATAAGATCCTGTTGCAGACAAATAATAGAGTTTTCCTCAGGAATGACCTTAAACAGTGAAATGACAGAGAGCAGACGGTTACTTTCATTTCCGAAATGCGAAGGCCAGTTGTTGGGAAGGTCTTGATTCACCAGGCGCTGATAGTGACTTTGACGATGGAGTTACATCAATTGTATTGCCATATTTCCGTAATTAACCCTGTATTGCAAAATAATAAAATAATAATTATTTTATCTCATGTTAATTTATATTTAAAACGAAAAAATTTGTAAAAAAATTAATCATTTTCTTTTTTAAAATGATTTAATCTTCTCAAAATGAAAAAATTTTAAAATTTACATAAATAATTTAAATAATATAAAATTAAAAAAAATAATTTTAATTAATAAATAAAATTATTTTATCTTAATTTTTACACACATAAAATGATATTATTTAATTTAATTTTAAATGTGATATCATATTATCATATTCTATTTATGATTTTGTGCACTAATCGTGACATGAGAACTATATCTAAGACATACACGTCAATATCTGCACGTTGCAAATGCTCGTCTTATCTCTGTTTAAACTCTTGAACATGTTGGTAAGAACCGTTTGTATTATGAACAATACAAAGAAGAGAAGGATAGAGAGAAGACGTCGAACACTCAGAAAGCCACATGCATATATGATTTACATCTTTTGTGAAGCCTGTCTTATTGTTATAGACACTTAGACCAACTCCAAACATGGCATAAAGCATTTTAGATACCACAGAAGATTATTTTAATTCCGAATCTTAATTTAATTTATTTATATAATCACTCTTAAAAGGTAACATTTAATATATCTGACTTTTGAAATTAAAATATCAACACCTGCAATCTTTTCCTTAGTCCCCAAACTGCTGTCTTATATGTAACAAAAAAAAGATATAAAAGCTAAAAAAATTTCTATCAATCCGGTAAGTTCTAGGGTGCAATAACTTTTGCTACACGAAATGTGAGAATCTAGATGTCCTTCAAGAACCATATATTATAAACTGAACAAGAATTTTATTAAATTCAATTGGTTGGGCATGGTGAAACTCTGAAAGGACACTGGTAGAAGAAACTAAATCCCACAGTTGCTGATAAAATATAAATGGTAATAAGCGCAAAGAGGAAAAAATGTAGGAAGTTTGTCATTTGGTTGGTATTCCAGATCTCCATTGAGACACTTATTTTCGAGTGATAGAAGATGAATAAAGTTTTGTGGCCTGCTTAATCTCCAGGCAGTTCTAGCATCTCCAAAGAAATAAGAGTACATTACATTTCTAACTCAAATTTTGAGGCACTATACAACACTTGCACATGTATCTTAAGCTTTTGTATTTGCAACCAAAATTGCGCAGCTAAGATTTAACAGGACATAAGGCTAACCAAATATTGAAGCTGGTGAGAACCAAAAATAGCCAGCTTTATGCCCAAAGCATTGTCACAACCAAAAACAGCACAAAAGCCAGCCCAAAACAAAATCCTACAATCACCATGAAAGCCTGGAGACATTTTAAAAGGGTTACGATGCTTGCTAATGGAATAATATAGGAGAATTTCCAAGCTGAACTGTCATGTACCTTTCCCTGAGATTCAAACTTAAATTTGACAGTGAACCATGACAATCCTCTGTCTACAAATGGGGCAAAAGCAAGGGCCCTGCGATAAAAGCACCTACCTAGAATTACATGGTTCTTGATGGAGAATGAAGCACTTTAAAAAGTTTGCAGAACAAAAGAAATTTATTTGATTGATGGCTACCAAGGATTTAAAATGAAAAAATCTTGTAGCGATTTCATATTTACAGTAAGAGACAGATAGAACAGTCTTATGAAACCATTAAGAAGACTTAACAAACAATTACGATCACTTGACCAGAATAATCATGGAATAGATTAGAATGAGGCACAAGGAGTTGGCGTAGGCTAGAGCTAGATTGCCAGAAGTTACTAAAAAATAAGTTACTAAAAAATAATCCACAACACAATGTAAAACAGACCAACTCAATTCCAGCATTTGGCTCAGTAAAAGAATGCCACCAAACCTATGTGTATGGAGATCACCCATTTATATAAGAAAGGATCCTTTCTTCCTCTCATCCCCACAAAAAAGGTAGAATGAAAAAATATTTACAAAAAGTTCCTTCTGCTTTTATGTTCTGTGTATGTTATGAGATGGTTATGAATTTCCTTTAACCTCAAGACTTCCTCAACATGTTCTTGGGCTAGTAGTCCTTATTAATCAATTTAATCCATGTTGTAGATAGCTTAGCTTAATGACTTGAATATGGAGATGATTAAAGGTTATATTCTCTTAACCTTCCTCAAAGTACATGACATAGATGAAGCTGCAACATATAGGAGCATAAAAAACTAGCACTTAACAGTGCAGAAATTGAACAAACAAATAAATGGATTTAATTAGATTCAAATTACTACCAATTGAGCACCAATGGGAAAGTATCGGTTGTTCTGAAGATTCTGACGTAACTAATTGTTAAGGAAAGACATTTGAATTCTATCAACTTACCCTCCAGCTCTAACAAGCTTAGTCACTTGGCTTCCAGCCCAAACCATGGCCATAACCTTGAGAAATCTGCGAGGAATGAGATTGCTCATACCATCTGTATTCTCATAAATGATGAAGAGGATGAGATACTACCTCTCAACAGCAGCCATATAACCCATTCTTCCAGGGACTGGGGCAACATAGAACCTAAAAAGGAAGCAAAACCGCTCCTTGTTACGATGACTACATTAGAATACACAATAGAGCACCTAAGTAAGATGATTATATATGAACCAGTGAATATTTCAATCATTAATCTTGAACAAAATGATGATATCAGTGCTGTTGGGAAGTGGGAACTGGAGAGATTATCATGCCTTATTGAAATATCATTTTAGCCAAATTACAGCATATAGAAAAGAGTAACATTGATTCAGATTGGCTCTTGTTCATAGTTTCTTTTCAATGTATAGGCAACATGAAATCCGTTTTGCACTCAATGCAAAAATACAGGGTTGACAAGATAAATAAGACACTTTGTGTCCTCACAATAAATAGGAGAAGAACATTAACGTGATACAAAATCAAATCCAAATAATATTTTACACATGCCAAATGACTTGTGACAGGCCATCATGAATGTTTAGAGTCCATAATTTTATAAATTAAAATGCATATGCCAAATTAAATCATGAATTAACAGGGATGCATATTTTACTTACCACACCAAGAGAAAGGTAGTAAGATAGTAAGCTGTGTTCAGTAGCCCATAAGACAGTACTCCAGAAATTCCATATCTCTTCAACTTCTTCAACACCCTGAGAACCCAAGAACAAAAACAAACAAAGAAATTAGGCCTACATATCCTCACCCCTCTCCCTTTTTTTTTTTGTTCATAGTATGGATTCATAAGTAAAAAAAAAAAAATGAAGTCAAGATGTGAAAGCAAGATTTTTTACTGCTACCATTGTGATAGAAGACAGCTATGTGAAGAAAGATTAATCCATTAAGACATTTTCTTTAACACATATCCCCATATTCTTTGGTGGCCTTACAAAAAAAGATAGAAATGAATAAAATGCTCTCAAAAGAAAATAAAGCTATTGGTATAGTTCTCATTTATGATGAAAATTCGTGTCATATATCTAAATAATAATTGCATTTGGTGTTACATATCATTTTAAGAGAGAAGAGAAAAAGAAAAGGAAATAATAAACCAAATGAATATAAACCTAGCATAAAAAGATTATAGTTTGAAAAAACAGTTCACTGTTAGCATCCAACAGTTGTGGTAATACAAGCATTCTTTATCAAAATACCCAATCAATGAATGACATTCTGTCTTTAATAAAATTAGAAGAAATTCTAGAACAACCAAGTTTGGCTATGTATATCTCAATGACAGAGATTTAGAGCAAACAGAAAAAGAAGGCCACACAAGTACATGCATCAAGTAATAGGAAGACCTTCCGAAGTTGGTGATTAAAATTGCGATTAACAATATATTTCAATAAAAAAAAATCATTAGTCAATAGTCATTTAACACAAATTAGAAAGGAAAGTAGTAAATACTCTTTAGATGAAAAAGATTCTCCATTTCTACTCTCACCCTTTCCTGTCATTGAACCTTTAAATCGAAAAATGACAGATAAATAAACAAGTTATTTTCTTGTTAAACAAAAAAGTCATATAAATAAACAACATCCCCTTTTTTGTACAATGTCTATTTCCAATACCTTCATTGTTTGTTGAGTAGTTGCCATTATCAGTTGGATCATAAACCTAGAAACACACCATTAATATAAAAAATTAAATTAATTAAAAATTAATACGAGCCCAATAACGTGTATTAAATTAAAAAAATTAAAAATTTAACAAAAAACAAATCAAGCAATAAAAAAAAGAAAAGAAATTTCCCAATTCAACAAATAAGTTATAATAATCACGGAAAATCATGCAAGAAACGGTAATTGAATTCCGCTTACAAAGTTGTTATGGCCGTCGATTGAGCACGAGAGTTTCCTGAAATTCTGATAGACAAGGCTCTTGGATTTGTAAATTCTGGGAAAGGTTAAAAAGGAAATTTGATTGAAACCCTAAAAGCAAACAAAAAAACAGTTATATTAGTAAAATTAGAGAGAAAAAAGAAGACTTGAATAGAAAAATTAGTACAAAAAATAGAAAGAGAAAGCAGAAATTTTTACGCTTTGAGGGAAGAGGCGAGCGGTGTTTGGTGTGAGTTTGAGCGAGAGAGACATTACTTCCACAAGGATAAAATGGCGGGATGATAACAATTTGGGGAATATTTGTTTTTTTTTTTTGGGATTAAAAAATTAGCAATCAACTCTTAAAATTTCTCAATGACCCGTATCAAACAAGTTAAGCTTGAATTCATATCTCTATTTTAAGTAAAGAAGGATAAGTAGTGAACAGGATTAAATTTTGGGCTTTAGAAATGCATAAACTAAAAGGACCCAGTCCAGCCTAGGTTAGCCCAGATCAGCCCAAGGATCCCATGTGCGTGCGTGCCCTGCTTTTCTCCCAAACTCAGCTGAGAGCCGACTCATACACCCTTTTATTCTCTCTTTCTCCTTTTCCTCTGTACTACAATCCTAGAGTTTCAGATCAAAATATAGTACGCCACCGAAACCACCACAGCCCTTCGCCACGCCAAGCCAACCCAAGGTAACCCTTTTTTTTCTCCTTTTCTTTAATTGTCCTTTCCTTTGCTTCTTTACTTTTATTTGTTTCTACCTGTTTTTGCGTTTCTCTTTTTTGATCTTTTTTTTTTTATTTTGTGTTGGAACTCGACTGAAGAGAACAAATAGTTAAATTTAAAGCTTAGATTGTAGAAAATAGGAGAAGAAATTGCTTGAACATGGAAAAAAAAATGAAAAGGGACCGGTAAGATGAAAGTTTTTGTAAATTTTTTTTTTATGAATGCAAAATAATAGTTTAATTATTGTTTGGTTTGTAAATGGCAGTGAAATCTTGATCATGATTGATTAAAACATTTGCTTTCCTTGACTTGGAAGGATCGAAAAGATGGGTTTTTAAAGGGAAAGGGAGGGATTGTCCATTTCACTCCATTTCCTTCCCCTATGAGCATATTCATGTTTAAACTTGGATTCTTTAGTAAATGAGTTTTCAGATTCTGTTCGAATTCAATTCATGCGACTTGCTAAGTTAAACTAGCTTAGAGCAAGCTCAATCAGGAATTATTGGATGAATATAACCAATCAATAAAACATCCTTGTAATCCATTAGGTGAGGACTTTTACCGATACGTTTTATGCCTAGGTTTATTTTTGGTCTAGGCTTAGCAATTGGCAAAAAGCAACATGTATACTTTTACCAGAATAAAAATGCTAAAATATTGCCCCAATGTTACTTCTTGTTTGAAAGGGAACGATAGTCTGGTCTCTGGTGATGACTTTTAGTTTTGGAAAGATTGAAGTTAGGGGGTTTTGGATGAGGATATAAATATTAAGAAAATCTTGCATACATGGCTATAATTTACTTTTTCTAGTTTACTTTACTTTAATCATGCATTGCTAGCTCTGATCAGGCAGTTTGGTATTTTAGGCAACCACATATTACCTGGTCACCAAGGCAATATCTTGAAACAATCTGATAGTTGCATCATTTTAGCATTTATATATCTTTTGTGACCATTTTAACCCATGCTATTCTGATTGCAATTTTGCAGATTGTTACACAATTTATCAAACTAGGTACAAGTAGAGTAAAGCTATTCTGGGATATTAGTTTTGGCATTTTCATCCCTCTTGGTTTTGTTTGTCCACCATAAATATTATGGCGGTCCACACAAGCATTCAGCTTATATCTTATTCTCAGGAGCTTGTGGAGGGTCAGCCACTCTATGTTTCTTCAAATTGCCTTCCTGTTAAGGCTTTAAAATATGAACCTGCTGGCCATGCTTTTCATTATGCTGCTCTTAAACTCCTTGGCTGTGAGGAGGATGATACATCAGAAGTTGATGATCAGAATGTCTCTAATGATAAGGAACAAGTATATATGCCATCATCTGATTCATATAGTTGCAAAGGAAAAAAGAAATCTGCTGCTGATGGCAAGCAACAAGATCACTATGCATTGCTGGGGTTGAGCCATTTAAGATATCTTGCCACTGAGGATCAGATAAGGAGAAGCTACCGTGAAGCTGCCTTGAGACATCATCCTGACAAACTTGCAGCTCTTCTTCTTGCTGAGGAGACTGAGGCTGCAAAGCAAGCAAAGAAGGATGAAATAGAGAATCACTTTAAGGCCATTCAAGAAGCATATGAGATTTTGATTGATCCTGTAAAGAGAAGAATCTATGACTCAACTGATGAGTTTGATGATGAAATTCCAACTGAATGTGCCCCACAAGACTTCTTCAAGGTGTTTGGTCCAGCTTTCATGAGGAATGGACGATGGTCGGTGACCCAACCTATCCCATCTTTAGGCGATGATAGTATTCCACTAAAAGATGTAGATAATTTCTATAATTTTTGGTATAGTTTTAAAAGCTGGAGGGAATTCCCACATGCAGATGAGTATGACCTTGAACAAGCTGAGTCTCGTGATCATAGAAGGTGGATGGAGAGGCAGAATGCAAAACTATCTGAGAAGGCTAGGAAGGAGGAATATGCTCGGATACGTACACTTGTTGACAATGCCTATAAAAGAGACCCAAGAATACTTAGGAGAAAGGAAGAGGAGAAAGCTGAGAAACAAAGGAAAAAAGAAGCCAAGCTTCGTGCCAAGCAGTTGCAGGAGGAAGAAGCTGCTAGGGCTGCTGAAGAGGAGAGATGCAGGAAAGAAGAGGAGGAGAAACGAGCTGCTGAAGCTGCTTTACAGCATAAGAAAATGAAGGAGAAAGAGAAGAAGCTCCTCCGGAAAGAGCGAACTCGCCTTCGAACACTTTCTGCATCTGTTTTATCTCAGCATTTGTTTGATCTTTCTGAGGATGATGTAGAAAGTCTTTGTATGACCCTTGGCATTGAGCAGCTTAGAAGTGTGTGTGATAAGATGGAGAATAAAGAAGGATTAGAGCGGGCTAAAATAATCAGAGATGCACATGGATACAATGTCAAAGTGGAGGAGAAGAAAATAGATGAAATGAACAGCTCACAGCTGAATGGTTCTGTGGAGTCCAATGGACGTGTCATGTTAAGCAGCTTTGAGAAGAAGGAGAAACCTTGGACCAAGGAAGAGATTGAGCTTTTGAGAAAAGGAATGCAGAAATATCCCAAAGGGACATCTCGGCGGTGGGAGGTTATTTCAGAGTATATTGGTACAGGGAGATCTGTGGAAGAAATTCTTAAGGCTACCAAAACAGTCCTCCTCCAGAAGCCTGATGCTACCAAAGCTTTTGATGCTTTTCTTGAGAAGAGGAAGCCTGCGCAATCTATTGCATCTCCACTTTCTACTAGGGAAGAAGTAGGAGGGGTTTCTACACCTTCAGGGACTGAAAACAGTGCTGTGAAGACAGTTAGCCCTGAAGACTCTGTTAAAAGTGCAAGTAATCCTGTTGATGTGGTTTCTGGTAATGAGGTTTCATCAAGTTCGGAACAAGAAATGTGGTCTGCCGTACAAGAAAGGGCACTGGTTCAGGCTCTAAAGACGTTCCCAAAAGAAACCAGTCAGCGATGGGAACGAGTAGCAGCTGCTGTTCCTGGGAAGACTGTAAATCAGTGCAAGAAGAAATTTGCATTGCTGAAGGAGAATTTCAGAAACAAGAAAAACACAGTTTAGTTATTGGATTACACTGCTCCTGCTGAGAAGTAATAATTTTCATGAGGGACATTTGGATTCAATTCTTTCCTTAGAACTGGGAACTTGCTTGAGCTACCACGTATGTGCAAGACAACCACCTTTTCCCTTAGTTCCTATACTCTGGCTTTTATCATGCTATAAAGGTTTTTATAGCTCACGTTTTAGCAGAAAGTAGCTTATATATTGATATAAATATGCCAGATTGCATTGATTTTGTATGGAGCAGTATTGCATAGATACCATGATTTAGCAATTGCTTTTTTTTTTCCTTATCGCCTTATGGTTTCAATCATTGTTTTAATAAGGTTCTGTATGTTTGGCAGAAAATTATTCTTAAAAAATATTTATATTTTTTGAATTGAAAGCGATTTTCTGTTATTTGGATGAATTAATGAAAAATATTTTTTGATATTTGGTTGTTTTTCGAAAAATCTATTTTTTTAAAATGATATTAATATAATTTTTAAAATATTAAAAATTATTTATTATTAAATTTATTAATATAAAAAATAATTGTATTTTAATAATAATATTTAATATTAAAATGTTATGTTAATATAAAAATACTTAAAATAAAACTATTTATTATTTTTATATTATTTATTAATATATTGTAATATTATTTATTAATAATATTTATTGATATATTATATTAATAGTATATTATTAATAATATTATTTATTAATATATTATTATTTTATTTTATTAATATAATATTATTTATAAATAAAATTATGTTCAAAAGTATTAATAAATAATTTTATATAAAAACAATTTTTTTCAAAAAATCTCTTTTTTTAAATTTGTAAGATAATTTTTTAAAAACTGATTTTATTTTTTTGTTAATCAAAAAATTATTTTTCGTTAATCAATCAATTTTTTATCAAATAAACATTTAAAAATAAAAAAATTATTTTTCATGAAATAAATGGTTATATCGATAACATCATCACATCATTCTTGTCATTCTATATATTTTTTATTTATTCGAGTCATTATCATCATTACAAATGAGCCGAGAATCAGATTTGGGTCATAATACACAGCAATAACTGCTAATTTTTTTTTTTTTTTTTTAAATGTTAAGATGCTATGAGATGCCGGTTGAACATATGCAAATTAACTACTATTATATGTTGACATTATTATTTTTTTCAACCAGCTGGTCGCTACTGAAAGAAAATTAAATTAAAGCTGTCCAATAACATGAGATGCAACTTTTCCATCCAATCAAACCAAAGCTGCATAGCTAATGTATATAAGATTGCATTGTTACGATAAATTCTAAGATTTTTGATAACTTAAGCAAGACAAATTAAGGAATCTCAAACATCTATAAATAAATACATAAATAAATCATAATAAATCATAGAAATTATCAAACAATTAATTATCATAAATCTTGAATTCTTAAAACTTAAGTCGGTAAAAATAATATGATTGATATTTATTCAAGTGGACATATAAATATAATTTAATATGATATCGGACCAAATGTTATTTTTATTATTTTTTTTGTGATAGGTTTATTATACTTACACGTAAATATTTTCACGTGTGAGAAGAAATATTGAAGTGGAGATAGAGTAAATCTTATATTTATTAAATTAAGAACAATTTGAACATATAATTATAATAAAAATTATTTTATTTATTAATCAATTAATTTTAAATTAAATGTTTATATGAAAATTTAATAGTATATAAATAAAATATAAGCTGAAGGAAGATTTTTTAAATTTAATATTCATGTCTTAAGACAAAGGGTTTATTATCCTCATAAAACATGCGATAGTTTTACTCATTCTTGCTAAATATCATCTCTTGAAGGTATTTATATGAACTAATTGGATTAAGTTCTTGATAGGAAGTAACCTTTTTACTGAGTATTAAGATAGATCATAGGTGAGACTAACACTTGTTTTTTTCAGACAGATGAGCTTATCAATTGAAACAATCTGTGCTGTCCAAAAAAAGGTAACTGCAAATTAAATATTACTAATGGTGACTTGAAGTAAACTACATGATCACAGTAGTAAAACCAGCTTCCCGTTAAGTTTTATTTCACATTGAATAATCATATCCAGCTGGGGACAGACAAAGCTAGTACAGTCACCATTTAAATAAGAAACAAGTAATTTATTCTCATGGAGAAGATTCCTAGATGGCTTTGATTTCATCCATAACCCTGTCTTCTCTTGGAAGCAAACATAGAAAACATCAATTTTTGTAAGCAAAAGCAAGGATATATCCTTCCAGTACAACAGAAAGAAATTCCAGGGCCAGGGCTTGGATATTCGAATATACGCTTGAATTTACTTCCAGAGATGCTTGCTTGGATTGACCACCAACCTCTCCTCTACGATTTTCTTTAAACCATCTTCTTCAATTGTTACACAGAAGCAGTTCATTATCAATGTGAAGGAACTGATTTTTTTTGGGCTTGTTCTTCTTTTTTCTCATATTTCTTCTGATATTATCTCTTGTTTCTGATATAGTCTACAAATTAAAACTTTTAGAATCAAAAAGAATACTGAACTAGATTTCATATTGCTAAACTGTATAAAAGTTTTAAACTGCTGATGCCTTCCTGGGCCAAATGCTTTAGATTTCATAGAACCAAAATTATAACTGCAAAGCTCTTTAATTAGCAGAAAACTGAAAGAGCATCTGACACAAGTAAACTCCGTGTATTTGAAAATTTTTGTATATCTTCTACTTGGTTTTGTTTTTTCGAACATAACATCACACTGTAAAATAGTTGTGACAAGTTCAACCATAGTAATCATGACAACAGGAGCTGAAAGAGTGGTGGTGATCCTGGATGCATCAAAGGAACTAAGTCTGAGCACAATCAGATGGCCCCTGCTAGGCTTATCACTTAAGTCTGGAGACAAGCTTATAATTCTTGGAATTATTCACCAGGTTAATAATCCTAGTATGTTATCTTTCATGGGAGCTGGAAAACTCAGTAAGAATCTATGCTTCTTTTATCTTCGAAAGGAGAAGGAAAAACAAGTAGATACACTGGATGAATCACATTCAATGTTCCTGCTAACTGCCCTTTTCTTCAGTTTCCTTTTTCTTATATTCCTTTTTTTTTTTTTCAGTGGGGTTTAGAACCAAGTTGGATCCCAGTTCAATGTTTGGAACAAACAAAAAGATCACTGGAGAAGAAACTGAAAGAAAGAAAGAACAGTACCAAAAGAATGCTGAGATAGAGAAAATATCCAAACAATGCAAAAACGAGCAGGTCTGATGAAAATTTTCTGCTGCCTTTACTGACTTTTTATAGCTTATTAGTACTTGGCCATGATATCATGAGAGAATTCTCATAACAAAATGAGCACTGATCCACAAAAAATTAAATAAATCCTGAAATGGTTTTTCCATCTCACTATTGTTACCCTACAGTTTCAGCATACGCATGTTGCTGAAGCATATCTGTATATCTTACCTTAAGAACATACGTAGTCACTAATATTGTAACACCTCACTCCCATGTCGGGATATTATGAGGATCCACTATGATATATATGTAACGATCTAAACCCATAGTTGTGAAACGTCTTTTATGGACAAAACAGATTCTATTAGGAACAACAAGGTCGATTGACATTCTGAGAGATCTTGTTTCGATCCTGAGCAAATCTATTTACACTTTATATGAAACATGAAGAATTAAGAAACATCTGCTCGGAGTATTTGACTTCCTGGATAAAGATCCGTCAACTGCTTGTAGGAGATCACTTGAGGAATGATGTGTTTGTGCACATATGGCTGAGGAAATACGGTGCCCTCCCCTGAACTGAACTGCATAACTGGATTACAAATAGGCCATATGAATAATATAATTCAATATATAGCATGCTCACATTTTGCTAAAACTTATCAAAGTGTTTAATGTAGTATGGCTTGTGTATCAGATTGCTGACAGTACCTTGACTTTTCTCAGATAGAATTCCGGGTAGAGATGCTAGCTGGTTCTTCTTTAAAGGTAGTTGCTTCAAGAGCTGTGAGAAGATTTCATGCAACATGGTTAGTACTTGACAGGTAAGTGTGTGATTATTGCAACTTTTTTTTTCTTTCACTTGTACAACAAGTTCAAAATGGAAAAAAAAAAATCCATTCAAGACTCAATACAACCATTTTTTATAAGCTTAAATGGGCAAATATAATTCCATTTTTATGCAAGAAAGAAGTGCAAATTAAAGTTCGAAAACCAGGATAAAGAAGGAAGAACCAATAAGGCACCAAAAAGGATCTCCTCCAATGATTTAAAAACATGGTACACTGTTATGTTTGAGGCAGGCACATGAAGAATGATGAGAGGTACTTTGTAGAGAACCTATCATGTAATATGGTAAGGATAAAGAAAGATAACAAAGTTAAAAAGTTAAGAGGACCGGCTGGAAGGGATGACCGCAAACCGCCTGCTGCGAGGAAAAGCATCGTAACATATGCTGAAATGATTCCCGCAACTAGCCCCAGCAAAGTACAGCCTCCTCGAAGTAAGTTATTCATCAATCATTAGCATAAGCGACTCTACAATGTTCTCCTCACAAACTTATAATACTCTTTCTTAATCTGGGACGCAATAAATCATGAAGAGTCAAACATATTGGTTTTTTGTTTCAGAATTTCAAAGTGTTCAGAACAGCATCTCAGTGAAAGAACGAGGAGGTGAAGGTAGTGGAGAGCAACCGTGGCATGGTAATAGGAAATCCACCTCACATTCAGCTTCAACTTCCAGCCGTGCAAGTAATAGAGCATCAACTTCGGGTTATAACGAGTCAAAGTACTCTTCCTCACATTTTCATGATGAAGAACACACTACAACTATAGCGCTGGAAACCGGAGGAGAGCTTTCCCCGATATCCATCAATGAAAGTGGAGACCAGAAAGACTTTTATGGTCCAGATGAAAATCAGAAGCTACATAACCACAATGATGATTGGATGGGGGGAAATCCAGGGGATCAGGAATTAAAAAATTCCGTTTGCTTAACATGCAATAATAGAAGACCAAAGTTAGGGTCGATGAGAGAATTCAGTTATGCAGAGCTTCAAGCTGCTACAGAGGGGTTCAATGCAAAGAATTTCCTATCAGAAGGTGGATTTGGCTCTGTCTACAGGGGAGAGATAAATGGGATGAAGATTGCTGTAAAGCAACATAAATATAATGCAAGCCTCCAAGGAGAGAAAGAATTCAAGTCTGAAGTTCAGGTACTTGGGACAGCTAGAAATGAGAATTTGGTCATGCTCGTAGGGTATTGCTCTGAAAGAAACCACAGGTTACTTGTCTATGAATTTGTCTGCAATGGTTCACTGGACCTTCATTTATCAAGTAAAGACCAATTCTGACAAGACTTCGGTTTTACTTCTCTTTCACAATGAATTAGCAAGATCTGATCTTGCATTTTCTCTCACTCTTGGCATCCAAAAATATTAAGTTCTAGTCAATGTATATTATTTCTTTCTAAATTGGTTGCAGAGCACACGAGACAACCTCTTAGTTGGGAAAAGAGGGTGAAGATAGCATTGGGAGCTGCTAAGGGCTTAAAATATTTGCATGAAAAAAATATCATCCACAGAGACATGAGACCAAACAACATCCTAGTAACACATGAATTTGAGCCTCTGGTAATAACAAAACTACATTCAAAAATACATGATATAATTATGGAAATATTTTTAGATCTATTTGCCTATTTATCTAAGAGAAGTAATGTTCATTCACTCAGGCTTACCTTGGTTTAGTCATGTAAAACATATTAGTCATGAATTTGAACTACGTTTGTTCTGTGCTTGATGTATTGAGTCTTTGCAAAAACCAATTAGCATAAGTCTAATGCACAAAATAATAATAATAATAAGTCAATACTAACTCTTATTCTACAAATGCATTATCTTACCTCAACTAATTGAAGTTCCTTACCGATTCACCATATCAGCTAGGGGATTTTGGCTTGGCACGAACTCAACATGAAGGCTCGGATCAGTCATCAGAGGCAATAACAAGAGTTGTAGGAACTCTAGGATACTTGGCACCGGAATACGCCGAATGTGGCAAAGTTTCAACCAAGACAGATGTTTATTCCTTTGGAGTGGTCTTGTTACAGCTCATCACTGGAATGAAGACGACAGACGAAAGACTTGGAGGGAAAAGTCTTGTTGGTTGGGTAAAAGTCTCAGTACATATTACATTCTTAACTAGATCTAAACCTATGCCCCCATAAGACATTCTTTAACTGTTACGTGAACTAGGGCCACCTTCTATCATATTGATCAGTTGAGCAGTGCCTCAAATAACCCTACCAGCTAAAGAGTAAACCAAGAATTTTTCTAGACTTTTTCAAATACTATTTCAACTCTAATTGATTCTATGAAATTATGCATGTCTACCTTCCTGCAGGCAAGACCACTACTAAAAGACCGGAACTACCCAGATTTAATTGACCCCAGGATCCTAGAGTCGCATGATGTCCATCAACTCTTTTGGATGGTTCGAGTAGCTGAAAAGTGTCTAAGTAAGGATCCTCGGAAGAGATTAACAATGGACAAGGTAAGTTTTAAACAAGCTTTTCATCTCAAGATTCAATGCTACAATAATTCTGCAACATCAATGTCAAAATCTAGCATAGTGTTCACATGCTTGTAACACTTCAGGCATCATATACCCCAAACCTTAACTTTTCCTTGCATGGTTTCCTTTTAACACCATCCTTAGCAAACAAATTTAATTGCTAAGGTAATGGAAAATTGGTGAATAAAAACATTAAAAAAAAAGTGACTGAAAAACCACTTGAACAACAATACAATGAAGCCAAACATGCCCTCCATAGGGGCTTTTTGAATATGTTCATGTGAACCTCCAAATAAAGTGACAGATCCACCTTTACTAGCCTCTTTGGACATAGCCTTCAGCAGCTAAAATCACATGAAGATTTGGGATTATCACTTTTAATTAATATGCATTAAGCATTATTGTTGCAGGTGGTTTATGCTTTAAACTACATAATGGATTGTGACAACAGTTGCTGCCTCAGAAACTTCTCACCAACACAATCAGATACAGTGAGCAGAGACTCGTGTGAGTCACAAGCACAACCTCCAATAGAAACTACCTCAGTAAGTAGCCTGAGTCAATTTAGTGAAAGACTTCCAGCATCACTTTCCATTTCAAGAAAATCAAGTTCATCCACCCTTTATGATGAACCAGCATCCAGCAGTGGGAGTGGTCATGAAAGATATCTATGATTTGAAGGCGGTTTCTTACCATGACCCAATCTTCTGAATCAATGGTGTTTCTCTTGGAAATGATTCGTGCTCCATTCATTCTTGTTCTTACATGATGTATGAATGAATGATGTATCAAATGTCAATTAGGACCCTTTTTTGTTATGAAGTTAATCACTCTCAAGTCTCAATGGATATTTATTATTCAATCACCTTCAGGAACATGATTCAATCACTCTCAGAGGTAGGAGGTTTTTTTTTTTTTAATATGATTGTATGAAAAAAGAATTTGAACTCTATTAAAAACCTTATAAAATTGATTTAAAAAATTTTTATTTTGTTTTTCTTTTCATAAAAAGGATTTTATGTTGCCTATGGTGTGCCTTTTTATCTGTCTTGTTAATGAGGTTATAAAAATCTTTATAAAAATAATATAAAAGTGTTCTGGTTTGGGTCAAATCCTATTAACATCTTACAATTCAAGATTCTGTCCTTGCCAAAGCCGAAGATATTTTCTCAAAGGCCCGTTAGGTGGAAAATTTTCCCACGTTCATTATCAAACAGGGTTGGTATCAACTCTGACTATACAGTAGCACGATAATGAGAAAATATGCACGAGGCAGCCTCGCACAATTGTTTATACTTTCTAGCTTTGTCTGTTTATATTTTTTTTTTTCATTTCATTTTATTTTATTTTTGCCACTACCCTCTGAGTCAAAGACAAAAGATCAGCTTATAAAAAATATATAAAAACAAAAACAAGGGACAAGGAGAAATAAAAGTAGCATAGCCTAACTCCTGAACGAAAACATGTCAAGGAGTGGAGGTTTTCGGTATAGATCTTAGGTTCCTACGATAGTGCGATCTCATCCAGTTTCAACTTCAACGGAATGAATTATAATTTATACTGATAATTTGAAACACTATAAGAAAATTATATAAAGATCACACATGAATTTGATAAAAACAAAAAATATTTATTTCATGTTTGATGTGTTTTATATAAATTTGACATAAAATAACTACTACATAAGTACGCAAAGTGTCAAATTTATCATTAATCATCCTTGTTCAACATATCTCCTATCATCAAGCTGAATTTCTTAGTCCCTATTTATCCATCATCTATTGCTAACTTAAAGTCGATTCGGAAAATAAGCACACAAAAAGTAAATTAAACTGCTGCTGCTAACAGAGAAAAGTATCAATCCAATTCGTTGCAACTCACCATAAAAAAGAATGGGGCGACATGTTCACAAGCCCTGAACCTATTCAACTTTAAGTGCCTAACAGCCGAAATATCCATGGAAACTGATATTCTTTTAAAACCTGTGTCTTGAAATGAGACATTACAGACCTAAACATAAAAATAAGAAGTGGAAGGTGCAAACAAATAAATCTTCAAGCAAGTACCCCAAACAATAATATATCCTCCTAAAGTTTTCCTCCAACAAAGGGTTAGAAAAACAATAAATTCATGCGTTGATAACAATGATCTACACCGAATTATAGATTGTCTGTAGACAAAAATGTTAAAAGGAAAAACCAAACCAATCCACCAAATATCTATTATATTAATGAAACGAGAGTAAGCTTTTGAGATCTGTCATCTGACCGCCCTACCACAAATCAGCGTCAGTCAAGACACATGCATCAAATGGCAAAATCATTAGACTGGGGGTTCCATGCTAAAAGTGCATGGTTATTCTAAAAGTATAACAACAGCTTGAATGCATTTGTATACCTTGTAGTTCCAATTGGCATACACGCATTCAACAGTTCAACAAAAACATAAAAAAACAACAAACCAAACATCCATGACTTATACCATATTGTGGTCTCTTCCCAAATGAGTTTTGATAATCAGGTTCATTTGTCTACCCACATCAACAAATCATGGAATGAATGAAACAAACAAAAAGCTTCAGAGTAGCTCATACAATAGAGATAGCAGATCTCAAGGGAGTTCAGGCATTTGACAGACAGCAGGCATGTTATTCCATGCACAAGAACCAAGGCCCCATGCTTGACTTGAAATAGATGTTGCAGCTGCCATATTCTTATACTCACTACTCAAATCATCACCAAGAAGGCTTGCTATGGCATCAGTCATGATTGTTTGGTCCTTATCAAAACCAGAACCCTGATCAAGCCAATTTGAAGCAAATAAATTATCAGGGCAATTACTATCCAATTGAATAGGAGTCTCTTTTTGTATCTCCGGTGTCAAAACAAGGTCAGCTGGTTCTGATTTCACATGAGACTCTGAAAAACAATCCAAATTCAAGTTAAGAAACTCTACAAAAACAATTAAAAAAATTGATAATGTACAATTCTCACTTCAAATAGACTTGGAATATTAGTTCAAGGACCATATCATAAAATATCAGGAGAAAATAAAATGAATTTGATGATATAAAAGGTGGTGAAAAATAAAAACTAAAACATGTGGACGCTGTAATTATACCATGATTTCTGACAAATGACTCAATACCTGAGGTAAGAAATAGCGAGCCTTTTGTAAACTCCATGTCAATTGTAAATAGTTTAAACATTAATGGAATCAAAAGGACATACGTCAGCATGATGCTTGATGAGAAAGATCAAATTTTTATAGAGTGGGAGACAACTGTCGTTTTTGATAATGCATGAAAAGTATAAATCATGTCTCAGCCTTAACAAGTCTGGATCACAGAGGTGCTCACCAGTAAATGTTTCAATAGGTGGTTGTCCATCCAATGAACTGCCACTTGCACTGATACACTCACTGAAAAGAGAAGTTGCTGAATGACCCACCGGAGAAAGAGGTTCACCACAGTTTTCCCTATCTGTTTCACAAATGTTGAAATTGGAACTTTCAGCTATATCACCGGGAGTTGATGAATTTGAGCTCTTGTCAGATGCATGATTCTTTGCACTGCTTAGAGTTTTTGCTTCATGCAGTAAAGCATCCAACAGGCCACTATTACGGGGTAAAAGACTATCTGACTCGACTCCGCTGGTTGGAGGTGGTGACTGGATAAAAGCATCAACATTCTCAAGTAAAGGTGGTGGGCAGGATAATGTGCCCCAGTTACCTAATTCAGTTTCTGGATATTGGAGTGAAGGGAGCTCCAACTTCACAGCCTCCAAAGTGGGCTCTGAAGCAGAGAAATTGCCATTTGAAATGGCATGGCTACCTAGAAATACACCAAATGACTGAGAGTTTTTAGCTGTAGGATCTGGTTCAATTGGAAAAGGCAGCTCAAAGGATCGAGCAGCCTTATCCAACATATCATCTTGAAACTGCTCAAACAAGGGACCTTCACTTTTAACAGCACCAGTGTAACTAGGGAAAAAGGCTGTCGATTCTCGAAGACGCTTCTGGCGATGGATTGTTGGTGATATGAAACCACAATATGGAGAAGAACCTAGACCTTTCATCAGCATGCTGCTAGCAGATAAATCAGGAAGCTCAGGGACATAAGGCAGGACACTTTGATTGGCCTTCAAACTGTCAAATATGACATCAGGTATCTCATAGCTGTTGTTCTGCAAGATATCATGAGGTCCTCTATCCCCTCCATTAACTGCACTGCTACTGTGGCTCTCCTGCTTTGCTTGCAGGCACACTTCGGGAGGATACAAAGGTAACCCAGCACGTTGACGTCTCTTAATCCGGGTATTCCAATAATTTTTTATCTCATTATCTGTACGGCCAGGCAACTGCAAAGAACAACAGAGCATAGAGAAACTTATTTCAGACACCTAAAGGACAGGCATATAAATTTTTGTTACTGAAAGTTTTATCATGCTTTGCTCAAATGTATGGCATTTCCAAGGCTGGAATAGCTGTCATAAAATTCTGGAAGACATGAATTGCTATTGTTCTGCATCTAGCAAAAAAATTGACGGTACTGAGAGAAATATGCTCCTAATATAGTTCATTATCCTTTTTAAGGCATGAACAAAATTTTGCATTCTAGTTTTCTCACTACTTTTCCCTTTGGCTTTAGGACAAGGATGAGATACGAACGGGGGATGGGGAAGAAGGGTAAAATATGATGAGGAGTTGGATTTTTATAATCCTGGGAGATGACCACTTCAACCAGGCCAAGAACAACACCACTATTATGTATAAAGGCCCCTTATGACTCTGGACAAACTTTTACTCCTTAAAATACTAAAAATTACTGTCTCAATATGGATCTTCCTGAAACCAAGGATACCGATACCAGAGCATTCCAGCATTCCACACTGCGCACATAAGTAAATCTTAGAACTTCTGTTAGTTCATTGGTTATAAATAAGAAGGACATATGCTGCAAGGGGGTTCAGATAGAATGAAACAACCATGTGTACCTATCAGGATTCTTCATAATATTCATGTTACTTGCTCTAAATTATTGTAGAATGCAAGAATTCAATGATAGTAATAAAGAAATTCAGCATGCAGCGGGGGCAGGGTGAATTTCTACCGACAAACTTTACTTTAACACAAACTTTAAGCTTCCTTTTTAATGTAATTCTTAACTTTCTTTATGTTCAATCAATTTCTCTCATTTAACCAATCATGAGAATCAAGCACTAGATTCATGGTAAATGAACTGCACACTTACATGTGAAGCCATCCGAGCCCATTTATTTCCCATCTTTGCATGGAGTTCAATGATCAGCTGTTCTTCTTCTTGAGTAAATGCCCCTTTCTTTAAGTTTGGCCTTAAGTGATTTGCCCAACGTAAACGGCAACTTTTTCCACAACGTAGCAGCCCAGAGTGCTTCTGAACAGCATTCCAGTTGCCTTCCCCGTGCTTCTTCACATAGTCAATCAAAATTGCATCTTCAGCAGACGTCCAGGGCCCTTTCTTCAGAACAACTCCCCCACCTGCACCTCCTCCACAGTTATCATCATCAACCAATGGTGATTCTGTCTGATCCTTAGAGAACATTACATCTTCCCTCTCATTTTTTGTGTGACTCATCTCTTTGTAATCATGCACGAATCCCCACCAACAGGTGAGAACCATCCAAAACCTGAAATCAGTGAAAAGATAGAAGACACACAAAATTAAATACATACAAACCCAAAAAAAAAAAAAGCAGCGCCTTCTCCTTTCACTTTTTCATACTTGCACTCCAACTCCCACAGGTAAAAATTTTTTTTTTTCAAAATAAACACTCTTTATGCATCACGACAAGCTACAAGTTGATCAACCACAGCACTCATTTATTCAAATGTTAAATACGATTGTAAAAGCATACATAAACATATTAACTCTATAAAAGGAAACAAAAGTCGTTGGGATAATATAAGCGCAACTCTCTACAGATAAGAATTTGGAGATGACAGAAAAAGTCATCACGCAGAGAAAGAGTTAAAACAGTTAATATAAGGCAAAATTATCCACAGAATCTAAAATCCAGCAAACATAGTTATGAACCGTGTATCAAATTCCAATTCTATTCCAAAAACGGCAAAATCATTCCAATATTTGAAAGTTAAAATTAAACCCTTTTACCTAACCTGGAAAGAAGATGACATGTAATTTTGAAAAAAATGAAAGAGACCCATTTGGCCATTTCCAGAAATGATGAAACAAATAAATTAAGATAGAAAGTAAAAACCCAGACTGCATTTATTGCACTGTACTTCTGTCATAAATTACTCCAATAATCTATCATTAATAAATTATAAGCTGCATTAATTGCACTGTCAACTACTAATACTATATTAAAACAAAAAACTATATTTACATTAAATTATTCCAAATCTACCCATTTCATTAAGGAAGCACAAATAAATTAATTTAAAAAAAAAAAAAGAATGTAAGAAAAAGTAGAACTCAATTACCTGCCTTAAGAAGCAAAAGTTCGGGAGAAATTTGCCAAAAACAAGAATTCTTTAAAAGAGCTCAATTATGGTTCCTGATTGAAGTGAGAGCTGAGACAAAAGCGAAAATGGAAAACCTGAAATTCAACCGAAAAATTAATTATGATTTTAATAAATTATTTTGATCTAAAATCAATAAGAATAAAGAGGAAACCCTAAATCAAAAATAATTTTTTCTAACCGTAATTTTTGAGCTAGAACAAAAAGGATCCGAGAATAGAAAGAGCAAAACATTGAGATCTAACAACTGAGCGATTAGAAAAGGAAATTTTTTTTTTTTAATTTTGAGGTTTTGCGTTTGCGGATAGAGAAAATTGATAGGGAAAACCCAAAAAAAATGAAAAAAGAAAAAATGAAAATGGAAGGAAATGAGAGAAAGAAAGGAAAGAAAGCTGAGAAAGAAATGTCAAACGCAGAGGAAATAAAGGAGCAAAATGAGGAAAGAGAGAAGTTTTTTTTTATTAAGCTTAATTAATTATTTATTTATTTACAATTACTCTCCTTTTTGCTTTCTCTAAGCTTAATTAAACTTTCTTTTTTGTTAAAAAATTTTTTAACTCGCTATGTAAATATTTTTTATAGGATTAATATTATAAATGATCCTAACATATAATAAAAGGTTTAATTCATTACACAAATTTTAAAAATTTTAAATGTGATATATAAATATTAATTTATTAATTAATATAATATATAAAAAATTATTTATTTATTATTTATCATTATTTAAAATTAATCATATTATAAATAAATATAGATATAACAATATAAAGTTTGGCTCAAGCTTAGCAGAGACAAAAAAATTTTAAAATTTTTTACTTATTACGTTGAGATTAAAATTTTTTACTTATTACGTTGAGATTAATATTGATTTTATTAGTTGTCATTGTCATAATAGAAATGGCATTTTTGCTGGTGAATATCTTAAAGGCTCATTTTGATAACCAAATATGAAATTAAGGATTGAATGATAGCTTAATTATGTATATTAAAAATGATTTGTTCATAAATTCTAATAACAAAGTTATTGTGTAAAGTTTTCAAAATATGAAATGATAATTGCAAAATTTTTGACAATGACTAGATACGAAAATTTTAATTTGTTATTGTTGTTATCATTATTAATATTATTTTTTTAATAATTACTATATTTGAATTAAGCCACAATAGATAAAATCTTTTTATTTTATCATTAAAAATAAATATTACATTAATTATTATATATGTAACTAAAATATTATATTAAAATTTTTTTAAATTTAACTATCATATTTAATATTTCATTAAAATTAAAAAATATACGATATATTTTCACTTTTTATAGTACTATTGAGAGTGAAAGAGAAGTTGAATTTTATCAAAACCTTTCCCAATTACTTATTTTTTTCGATGTTTTGGAATTTTCTTTTTCTTTCAATAATTAATTAATTTTATTAAATTAATAAAATTGAAAGTGGGGCCAATGATGTGTACTTCAATTTTTTCTAATTTTTTGGTCAAAGAGAATGCGTCCTAAATGGTCAGTGTGTTGTTTGTTTTTTTTTTTTTTTAAAGGTAAAAAATACTCTTAAATTATAATTTAATAATTATTTAAGTATTTAATATTTTATTATAATCAATCAAATTCTTAAATTTTTATTTTAACTCAATTGAATCTTTAAATTGATGAAATCAAATCATGTAATAAAATTTAATCTATCAATTTCAAAAATACAATCAATTAAATTCTTAGAGAGATCTATGATAAAGGGACAAAGAAAATAGAGAAAAAAAAAGATGAAACGTTTATTTTATTTAATTTTCATATATATTAATTAGATCATGCGGTAAACTTTAAAGGTTTAAATTATTTAACCAAAAAAGAAAATGAACTAAAAGCAAACAAATCTTAAATAATAGGCACGTAACAAATCAAAAGCAACAAAAACACTATCTAAATCAACATCATTGAATAATCCCATTAGGCCATTTCATTAAATGATTTTAATTATTTGTTAAAAATAATTCATAGATTAATTGGTAATAAAGTTTTGAGTTATTGATTCTCCCTAAATATTTCATATTGAATTTTATTCCAAAAAATTACTTATGCTAGCTAAATAAAAGAATGTTATAATCGGCACTTAAATTTTATGAGAAACAAAATGTTACAATTTATTAAGACAAAAATCAAATACTTTAAATGCTTAACAAAAAACATTAAAAAAAGAAAAAATGCATATGAAAAAGATAGAGAGAAAGACTAACCGTGAACGGTGAGTGACGAAAAAAGTACAAAAGCTCAAGAAAAAGCTAGGCTAGTATAATCAAAACTGTAGTTCATGTTTCTTAGTGAATTGTAGCTACCAAAGCGATAGGGCCAGCAGTGGTGGAGATACATATACAATAACATATGGTAGAAAACATGGCAAGAGATCACATAGTAAGAATGTTCCTAACTTAGATGAAGCTATTGGGTGGATGGATAAAGCCTTTGGAAGGAAACTTGTAGGTTGGGTGGATGGATGGAAAAAAAAATTGTAGAGACTTAAGAGAAATAAAGGTCAGGGTTAGATTTGGAGGCAGGCTTCTCATGAAGAAACGAGGAAATGGGAAACCCTAAAAAAATTTACATATATATATATGTATACAAGGGCATTTTGGTAAATATTTCAGGGTAGGTCAGAGCGGGTTTCATATAACCTGCCTTTGACTTGACCCCGACGCTCAAAAAAATATTTCCCAACTTGACTTAACTTGAAACCCTTTAAAAAAAAAAACTGACCCTATATGATTGGGTCGGGTCAAAACCTGTTGATTTCGAGTTGATTTGCTATCGTAGCTTTTTATACCATTTAGTTTTTTTTTTTTTTCATTTTAGCATGCAATCTATAATATAAGTATGTAACATCATGGTTTCCTTTCCTCTTTTATGAGAGGAATTTTTAATAAATTTATTTATTTATTTTAATAATCCAAATTAATAATGTCTATTAATACTAATTAAGTGCTATTTTAAAAGGAATTTCATTAAAATGTTCTATTCTAAAGACTTTATTAATATTATATTGTAATTATGTAATATTTTTCTTTATATACCTCTTAAATATTAGCATATCTAAGGAAGGATGGAAACTTTTTTTTAATCAAATTGAGTTCCTATGAAGGTAATTTTATAAAAATGATCTCTTATGAAGGAAATTTTGCCAAGGTAAACTCATGTGAAAGTAATTTTATTGATGTAAGCTCTTATAAAAGTAATTTTGTCAAGGTGAACTCTTACGAAGATAATTTTTATTGAAATGAGCTCCTATGAAGATAATTTTGCTGAAATGAGCTCTTATGAAGGCAAATTGTGCCAAGATGGATAACCATGTCTTCCAACATCTATTTTAGATTATACACTTTTGCATGCTAAACAAATTTAGATCCTCAATGAATAACAATAACAAGATAAGTTCATATCATATATAAATTCAAATCGAATATTTTCACAAAAATTGGCTAATATCATTTTTAAGGTGTTTTTTTCAAAAAAAAATAATGATGTAAACAAAAGATATATTTAGGTCAAATAAATGTTAGTAAAAGGTTGATAGTACCTCATTCATAAGGTTGACTCATCCATCAACAGTATAACTATGATCATGTTGAAATGATCATCTATTGTGCTTTATTGTTAGAGCATTTTATCCTCTTCTTACAAGAAGTACCTTGTTTATAATGTTGACATTTCTTAATAATGAGATCACTGTTTCTCATAGGGTCTTCTATATCATTTATAAAGTTGGCATTCCTTAAAAATGTGATCACCTCTTCTCACGAGGTCTTTTATATCATTCATGAGGTCAATAGGATATCTCTTCACTCGAAGACCACTTCTTATGCGTTACTCTTGAAGTATCTTGTCCTCTTCTCATAAAGAACATTTCTTTTACTTTGTTCTTAAAAAATCTTATCATTTTTCTTACGATGATCATTTCTTATGCTCTTTATTTCATGTCTATTCAATGTTTATCATCTTTAGCTTTTACGATCATCATTTTCTCGGCTTTCATGTATTAATGTCTTAGGATTCTAAAAAGAGAGAAATTAAAGTGGAGTTTATCCACTTTTGTAGCTTCAACATGATTTTTTTAATATGTCAGCTGCTGATGAAGTGACATGATTAATCAAGGTGCCAAGCTTGAATGACGAGAAGCTTGAATAATGTGATTGACTTCAAGTTAGATCATCTATTCCTTATATCAACATATTAATACTATAAATTCAAATGATCAAAAGGATTAAAAGTATTATTGTAGGTTTTAATGGTAGGCATTTGAAAGCCAACTAACAACTGAGGTCGATCAATCTCATTGGCAAAAAGTAAGGTATCTAGTATATTCAACTCATCTATAAGGTTAAGGTTAATCAATCTCATCGATAAACAATAAAGTCTTTAATATCTTCAATTTATCCATGAAGCTAAGGTCCATCAATCTCTTTAGTAAATAATGAGATCTTTATTTTTTGTGGCTAGGTTTAGATGACCCAACCTAAGGTGGCAAGGTGACAAGGTGCCAACCTAACATGAAATAAGCCTAACCTAAAGTGGCTTTTAGATACTCGAGACTTGAATGATATGTTAGCTTGGTCAAGTAAAATTGATAAGATATCAAGCGATCTGTCAAGGTGTCAAGTGTGAAATGTGCTTTCAATAATTTAGGTTAGTTTGTCATGTCTGCTCGCTTAAATGACTAAGATACTTTTAAGAACCTAAAATATCTTAATGTCAATAAAAAACTATTTTGCCCTTAGAATTTAAAATATCCACATTAGAAATTATCTATTTGTAATTAAGGTTGATTAACTTATTATTATTTGGTTGACTAATGTCGGGTTTTGGTTTGAGAATTTATACTAAATTCAATTAATGCATATAATATATATGTCGGTAGGGAGTGGAAGAAGAGGATTGAATCTTTTGAGGAAAGATATAGGCTTAGTTTAGTAATGCTATTGAAAATAGTTTTGCGTTCAAAAGTTGTTTTTTATCTAACTTCAAAACTAAACAACAAAATTATATAGCTTTTCATTTTAAAAATCTGGTTTGCCAATCCAAAGTAAAAAACTCCTCAACCATGTTTTTTATGGGAAAAAAATACGTTTGAAATAAAAAAATTACTATATTATCCTTATATTTTTAATAGTTTAATATTTTATATATTTTTTAAACATTTTAATTATTTAAAATTTTTTACAATAATATTAAATACTTAAAATTTTTAATTACATTATTTTATCACACTTTTTAAACATTTTTTTATATTAAATTTTTTTCAATCAATAACAACACTAAAATAATCCTAATTAAAAATTGTGTGAAGTAAGGTCCAAAGAAATAAAGTCTGATCTAGTGAAGTTTGATTTTACATAT